ATGGCCTTTCCCAGTAAGGTAAAAGGTAAAGGACCCATGGAGGGTTAAGACCAGTCAAAGGCGACTATGGGGTTGCTGCGCTCATCTCGCTTTCAGGCCGAGGGAGCCACCGTTTGTCCGCAGGCAGCTTTCCGGGTCATGTGGCCAGCATGACTAAACCGCTTCTGGCGCATCGGAACACCACAATGGAAACCAGAGTGCACGGAAACGCTGTTTACCTTCCCACCGCAGTGGTACCTATTTATCTACTTGCACTGGTGTGCTTTCGAACTGCTAGGTTGGCAGGAGCTGGGACAGGCAATTGGAGCTCACCCCTGTCATGGGGATTTGAACCACCAACCTTCCAAGAGGCTCAGTGGTTAAGACCACAGCACCACCCTGGTCCCCTTTCCCAGTAGCAGCCAGCTTTCCAATGTGATTCACTGCTGAGCATGTAGGAATCTGTGTTATATAGAGTCAGGCCATTGGTCATTCTGGCTGTTTTGTTGACATTGCCTGTCAGTGACTGTTCAGGGTCTTGCACAGGGATCTTTCTTCAGCCCTACCTGGAGAGGTGGAGAATTGAACAGATCCTTCCCATGCAAAGGGCCCCATCACTGAGCTACATCCCCTTCCACTACAAATTCATAGGATTGCAATGTCTTGCTATAAAGGTCATCACTAAAGTAAAAAAAAGATACTGCAGGCGTCAGTAAGAATTACAACTCCTTCTCAGCAGTAGGTAAATTGCTTTTTAAAAATAATACCATAATTGTGTTTTATTTTTCATGGTTCCAAGTCATTCTTAAAAAAAAAAAAAAAAAAAGGACATGGAATCACTTTGTTGTGTTTTTTGGTTCCACCTTTAGAGGCCTCCTTTCTCAGCAAAACTTTATTTGTCGTTATAAAAAGATGCTTGAAACAAGGCTGTTATCTTGCACATACTATACTGCAAAGAAGAATGGTGGAAATGAAAGGGCAGTGGTACCACACAACCTCTTTATGTGATGGTTCATTGACAATAACTCATTTGCGCTAAGGACAAGATGAGCTTTACCTTTAGACTGCTTCAAGCTAGGTCTACAGAAGGTCTCTACATGTGCAGAGAATTGCAGAGAGAACATGGTTCTTTTTGCCACAACTCCTTGGGATCGAGACAAGAAAACCTGTGATTCCGGGCTTTCGCCATGCTCTCTTGCTAGACTGCTTGACCCGAGTAGGATTTCACTTCCCGCCCCCCATTAGATGACAAGCAGATTCCTTGCTGGAGTCCCAAAGGCATCGGGTTGGCCACTGTGAGAATTAAGATGCTTGAACTAGATGGGCCATCGGCCTCATCCTAGCAGGCTCTTATGCTGTATCCCTTGACAACAGTAAACATGAATGTATGATGAACGTAATGTACAGTGGTACCTCAGGTTACATACACTTCAGGTTACAAACTCTGCTAACCCAGAAATAGTACCTCGGGTTAAGAACTTTACCTCAGGATGAGAACAGAAATCGCACGGTGGCAGCAGCGGGAGGCCCCATTAGCTAAAGTGGTGCTTCAGGTTAAGAACAATTTCAGGTTAAGAATGGACCTCCGGAACGTATTAAGTACTTGACCCGAGGTACCACTGTAACACGATTTTTGACATGTTCGGTTGAACAAAGTCTTGGATTAAACCAAGGGCTGCCTCACATCAGTCTTATGAGCACACAGGCCTGCTCATACCAGTTGCCTCTGCCGGGACTAGGTTCAGTCACTAATTCTGCAGTCATGGTGAAGCACCAGAAAACCTTGATAATGTGGCGAGCCCTTATACAGGGGCCCAATCCCCACTGCCTTATATATGAGGATTGTCTGGGTTCAAAAGCCCAGTGGCAACCAGTACTACTGCATCTCAGACAGACAGACATAGGATTTGGGTTCCACAGCATTGTCTCTCGCAACCGGAAAGAAGAGAACAATGCCGTTACTCACTTTTATCACCTTTGCTTCTAAAACATTTGTAGCAATTCAGATCATTTCCCTAAAGTCCATTTATAGTTCGATGTAATGCATGCTTTAACACATCTGCGACTCCTCTTGTTTTTGACTCTGTTCAACAGCATTCCGCTCAGGAAGAACACTGGATCCCTTCATATTCTTAGAGATCGCAAGATCTCCTGGGGAATCTCCAATTTCACTTTGCAATAATCACATAGCGCTACCATCCAAAGTTTGCATTGTTGCCAAATTGTAACAACCAGCTTTTCAGCTCGGATTCCTAGAGCAACGTAAGAATTTAAAATCAACAAAATTATGAAAGCAAGTAGAAAAGGGGGGGGAGGTCTTTAAAGGTTTAGGCAAATAAAATGCTCTTCCCCAGGTGATTAAAAAAATGCAAAGAGCTGGCAGACAGCATTTCAAAGATGGCAAGCCACAGTTTAGCTGCCCTATCACTACTGCCACCTGCTGTTCTGCTTGTGACACTACAAGCAAGTTAGCCTGGACTAGTTTCATCCATTCTCCCGAGATGCAGAATTCTTGGTACCATCTGACAAATCCTCCTGCAGCCAATTCCTTGTGTAGCTGCTCGGCTTCAGTGAACTCCCCGAACAACCTGTCCTCTCCATTCAAGGTGGACAAGTTGTATAGATAAAATTGACTTCAAAATTACACACCTCAGTTGGTTTTATGCTTTTCTTCGCAGATTCTCTTTGTTCTTGGTTTCACTTGGATAAATCATTTCGATATCCCGGTCCCCCCCCCCCCCCGTCACTCATGTTGCTGAATCTGTGCTGAATTTACCAAAGTTCACCTGTTGCCAACACAATCATAGCTCATCAAACTGCAGGTCAGTAAAAAACAGCGGCTTGCAAGAACCTGTGAATCCAAAACGTAGGAATTTTGAGTCTGAATAAATCAAAATTTGCCAGTTACGTCTCAGCTAATGAGAAATATTTTTCAGGTTTTAAGCACTCAAGAAATTCCATCCATCTCAGCAGCAGTGGTTGAGGCGACAGTTAAATTAAAATGTATCTACAGTAGTAGAAGCCAAACCCTCTTCAGTAGCTTGACAGAACATTCTGAATCCAGTTCGCTGCATACATACTCCATGTGCATTAAAACACAGGGACTACTAAGGATGGTGTGTCATCTTATATTCGCTATATAATTGGTACGGCACCCCTGCTAAACCCTTCATACAGCATTTCTCAAACCACATGAGCTTCCAGCGTCACTCTTACTCCCATTTCACAAGCATGAACTTGAAAGGGCCCGAGACTATTCAGTATATTCATAATTCAGCAAGGATTTTTTGCACCACAACACTCACTTTTTTCCTCCTAGAAGTAAGGGGAAATGTCTGTGCGTGTTATGGAGGGAATGCCTACGGGTGGGGGGGGGGGAATCTGCTGCAGTCGTGAGCAGAGGATCCATGGTTCCCCTTCCTTCCCTCCTCTGTGGCTCGCTTTGAAACAGCAAAGCGGGAGAAGAGCCGCTGAGTGGGGAGGAGAGAGGGACAGAGAGCCTGCTTGCTTTAAAGGAGCAAAGCGGGAGAGGAGAGGAGCTGCTTACACGAGTGTAAGCAGCTCCTGTCTGGTTGGTTCCTTTAAAGCAAGCAGGCTCTCTGTCCCTCTCTCCTCCCCACTCAGCTCGCTAAACAGCAGCAAAGTTTTTCAGCTCGCTAAGCCGGGGATGAGCAGGGAGAAAAGCAGAGCCTGCTTGCTTCAAAGGAGCAAAGCAGGAGAGGAGCCTTCTCCCCTTATACCCCATTTCTTCATTATTAGCAGCATCCTTCTCCACCCACCCCACGCATGCTTCTTCTCCCCTTAAACCCCTCTTCTGCATTATTAGCAGCATCCTTCTCCTTGTCCCTTGAGTGCTTTCCCTTCCCTCCCCACTTAAAACATGGTTACAAAGCACGGATCCACATGGATCCTCTCAGGATTTTTGCACTGGGTCACCCCAAATTCACCATCAGATCACATAACATGTCCATGGCTACATCTTGCACCAAAAAAATCACGCACCCACTGTTGCCTAGGGCCGCAGTGGTGCAAAAACGTGGTTACAAAGCATGGATCCACATGGATCCTCAGGATTTTTGCATTGGGCTACTCCAAACTCACTGTCAGATCACATGTCTGTGGCCACAGCATGAACCACAAAAATCATACATGCACTGTTTCGTTTAGAATATTTTTTTTCTTGTTTTCCTCCTCTAAAAACTACGTGCGTGTTATGGTCGGGTGAGTGTTATAGAGCGAAAAATATGGTACTCATCTGCCGGGACTTGGTCACTGTCTTCCAGAATTAGAAGCAGGGAACCCCACACCCCCTTTGATTGCGTCTCCATATTTATAGCAGAGTAGTGAAACATCTGGGTTGTAGTCTTCTCCTTGCTCCAGTTCAGAAAGTACCATGGATTAAATTAACATTGTTGATTCAACCTGTTAATTCTGGAACGTGCCTGCTCCGTAATGGTAAGCATCTATGGTGACTACATATGCTTTTAAAATATTCATTTGACCTTCAAGTAGTATGAATATAGTCAGTACTGTACCAACCAGTAAAATCGCTGCATCGAACCAGAGCATATTTATAAATTGGCACTGAGGGTAAAGTAAAATCATTAGCCAGGGTCCTGATTCAGGATACATTTCGAAGTTGCATTTTGGTACTGAACAAGTTGTCAATCTCAGTCCTTAGGGAACAGCAGAAATAGAAATCTAAAGTAACTATGTACTGCTTAGTCTTGCTAAAATGAATTATCTCCAACTAATTGAAATTGTGATGGCCAGTGTTTAAACACTGATGAAAATTTATTGAAATGACTATGCATGTGCAATCTTCATATCCATGCTCAATTAGTGAGACTTGTTTATGTTATAAAAACAAAATCCAAGCATCACTCGAAGTTCTCACACTACAACATCAAAGAAGCAGAATTTTAGTTTTTAAAAGGCTAACCAATAATGCAAATAAAATATCTTATTATATAGCTATGGTAAAGAGGTTAGTTTTTCTCAGTTTTAGTCTGAACAATGACTCCGCATCAGATATTTTATTTTAGAAATTAATACTTTTTCACATTTGAGGAAGGTAGGCCAAGTCTGAACGGAAATGTCTGGGGGAGGGGGGAGGAGAAGCTCATTTAATTAATTTACAATAATTTACAGCCATTTTGTAAAAGGGCATTACAACTGATCAAACTGGGGAACATGTGGCTATTTTACAATTCTAGGTACAGAATTTAAATATTCAAGCTTGTGATGAAAAAGCGGCAAGGTGGTCGCAGTGTACAATGTAAACAAGTAGCTTTGGAAAGTGAACAGAGTCCTTGAATCTTTATTTTTTTAAAAAAAACAACAACCTCTTGATTCTTTCCTGAAATATGATCACAGGTCAACATGTAAATGCTCATCTAAAAACATAATTTAAATTGTGTTCAGAATAAAACCACTTCGATGAGGAGGAGTTCAGATTAAGATCCAGTCTGAGTGGGGCAGTGTTGAGGTCCCTGTAAAAAGTAAACATATTTTCTTTAAAAAAATGCGCTACAACATTTGTAGCACAGTGCAGCATTAAAACTTTAAATACAAAAATATTTTCTCTTCTGTTGGGGTAATAGACCTAGCATACTGGAAAGTAGTAACAATACTGCTACTCATAGCACATACGGTCCATGTCTTTCAAGTCATGTAAGGCAATTGCTGTGTTAGTTTATTGTGTATGGCAAAAAAAAAAAAAGTCCAGGAAATGTTAGTCTTTGCTATGTCTTCCGGCTACTCCACATATGTTCCGGTGTACTTTTGTGATCTGATGAATGTTCAAAAGGAGATCTGTGTCCTAAGGGAGATCTGGAGTCATAAGCTCTCTGATCTAATGGTGACCTAGGACCGCTGCTGGAAGCTCTGTGGTCCATTTGCCAGTCCGAGTGATACCTATAGTCCCTCGAAGATTTATGATGGCTGTAGTCTGAACTGGATCGATGGTCTAAGTGTATCCGATGATCGGAGTGTGACCGACTGTCTTTTAAGCTTCCTTCCAGACTGGACCTGTGATCTCTGTTCCTATGGTCATCTAGCTTTCTGTGCTTTCCATCACTGTAGTATCTGAAACACAAAATAAATACTAGTAGAAGCTAACTTAAAAGAGTAGGCCTTGTAGAAACGCAACAGGATTTTTAAAACACACACACACACACACACACACACACACTCATACTCCTTCTTCTAAGAACAAAACAATAAAAGACTCCTGAAAACTAAGGAAAAAACCAACTGATTCTAGCATCCTGGTGTGCTCTGTGAGGTGGACAGGATAGCACAGCATAGCATTGCATCACTTTTCTCTCTCAGCAATGCAACTGTGAACCAAACTACAGGCGACATTAAACTTCCCCCTGGATGGACCACTTGAAAACTGCTATGGGAGCCGATGGACCTTTTAATGTTATATCTGCCTGTTGCTGAAAGTGTAATGTGCTACGTATGACTTTTATTCGTATTTTTACAGACATGCCACAGATCACCTGAATTGAAGCTTGTGGACCAGTTTGAGGGCCCTTGCATGAAACAGATCTTTGCATCTAAGCTGCTGGTCTTTTAAAATGCAAACTGCATCAGTTGTGGGGTTTGCACACCAACAAACAGCAGCCCTATCACACTCCTGGCCACCCCTTTCCCCAAATATAAAACCACAAATAGCAGAGCATTCAGACATGTATTATCATCATGCATGTTTTTGCCCTACACACAGCCAACAGTTTCTGAGCAAAAAGTCCTAATCATCTCGTTAGTGAGAAATACTGCACAAGAATTGTGAAGTAATTGGGAAAACAGGGTTCTGTGGATGGCTGTCACGAACTCACCTGCTATCCTGTTTATAGTGATCCCAATCTCTATGATCTTTTCCATTGCTGAAGCTGGAATAAGGCCTTTTCCTAGAGTCACTTTTCTTGTAGGTATCTCCATGAAGTCTATCTTTGTGATGATCGTGATACTGTGATAAGTGTCTGTCAGAGGAATAACTGTCTCTGCTACTATCGTCATGATTCGTATTCTCTTTTAGGCGTTCCACATCTGCTTAAATGAAAGTAGAGAGATTTGTTTAGCTGTAAATAGGCAACATAAATTACCAGGTGAATGCTTTCAAGATCAGCAAATGGGCTGAAAAAGTGAAGGACTAAATTAATGTATTTAAATAATCCATTTGACAACATTTAAACAGAAGCTTTTGCTTTTCCCACACATTCGAAGCCTGATTCAAAAGCACTGAAACTTGCAGCCTGATCCTTAACACCCTTAGTTGTAAAGAAGTCTCACCAATTCCCAATGTTCTCATGGCTGGCTGTAATAAACTGAAATTCATAATGAGAACTACCAATTTCCATGCATTTTAGTGATTTGAGTAAATTGCAGGCTAATCTCAAGACTTGTTGCTCAAACAAATAATTTATACATGCCACCTGAGATAGCAGTACATCGCTACACACTGATATGATGCTAGCTTCACTCACATAGGTAAAGGTAAAGGTAAAGGGAACCCTGACCATTAGGTCCAGTTGTGGCCGACTCTGGGGTTGCGGCGCTCATCTCGCTTTATTGGCTGAGGGAGCCGGCGTACAGCTTCCGAGACATGTGGCCAGCATGACTAAGCCGCTTCTGGTGAACCAGAGCAGCGCATGGCAATGCCGTTTACCTTCCCACCGGAGCGGTACCTATTTATCTACTTGCACTTTGACGTGCTTTCAAACTGCTAGGTTGGCAGGAGCAGGGACCGGGCAACGGGAGCTCACCCCGTCGCAGGGATTCGAACCGCTGACCTTCTGACCGGCAAGTACTAAGGTCTGTGGTTTAATCCACAGCGCCACCTGCGTCCCTGCTTCACTCACATACACATATGCATGTTTAGGCAGCTCTCATAGCCCCCCAGGTTTCATTCAGAGAACACGCCTGCCTTTCAGGGACTACTCCTTTCCCCCCTCCAGTCCCCAATTCTTTGGGTGGGGTGGCTTGGAGAGCTGCTGGGGTGAGGAGTGGGGAAGTCTGTTTCTAGCAGCTCCATTCATGCAGTTTTCTCTACATCGAACCTACTATCTAGAATGGGAACTATTTGTTTATTGTATAAAATTTAGCATCCCAACACTGAGGTTCTTACCTGGATTTCTAATCAAATGTGTATTCACACTGCTGCTGATATTCTGGTCATTGTGCTGCTGGGGGAAAAAAATAAGGATTTTATTTTAAACCGAAATAATAAAGTTCCAAATATGTCTCATTTGCATGAAGTACTAATACCAATGTTAGAATAACACAGGTAAAAGCTTATTTGTTCTGTACTACTTGGCAGTCTATTAATACCTGTGTTTCTTGGCGTTTTTTAATTGCATGTTTGTACAATTTGTGTAGCTTTCTGGCATCAAATTCTGTAAACTTGGAAACAAAAATCCACAGGTTTCTAGAATGGAAGAGAAAAAGTGGTTTAGTTTTCTAAAAGATCATTAGCAGGTCACGTTCCTGGTTCTACAGTACATTATTTTACTTGTATGGCACTATCACTGTTATTGCTTTTACTATTATGAAGTGAATTGTATAATATTAAAAACAAAAAATAATTAGTTACACATATATAAATCTGCACAGCAAAGTATACCTCAAGCTAGTCAGAGATATAACAGAACTGAGCCTCCATCTAGTGGTTAGTATACAGACTGCACTATGATATAGCAGATATGTAGCTCTGTTGGTTCACATAACTTTAAATTAAAATATAATTTAGCTGTCATCTTGCAAACTGTAAATGGGCTGAACACATTTTCTTCAAGCCATATTTACTACTTTTCCCTCCACGTGGCCATAAAGAGTAGGCAATTAAAAAGAAAGTGCCTAGGCATTAAAAAAGCTAGCTAGGCAGCAAACCATACTGCTTTTCCCGTACAGCCATAAAAACTGAATAGTTGAACCTTATGTACAAATGGGGCATTTGTACACATAAGCGTTTTCAGAAGACTATTTTTCTGGATCTCTTCTCTCCAGTAACTGCAGGAATTTCAGATGTATGAACCCATGGTGAACCTTCTGAACAGGTTTCATTAATTTGTAAATTAAAGATGCTATTAGGAATCTCCATGACAGGCTCTGACACGCTTTCGCCACCTCCACCATCGTAATTACAAAGGCTGCTTTTCACCTCATACAGAGAGAAGTGGCTGGTCCTGATCAAAGGAACGGCTGGCAAAAGGTTAAGTAGCCTCTCTCTCTCATGATAACACCTCCAAGTGCTTTTCTACAGGTTGGGAAATATATTTTTTTGCAAAATAGAGGTTTTGCCCATAGGTGCTAACAGGGGCACTTAGAAGACAATTGTTTTCCTACCTCAGAGATTACTTACTTTCGCCACTGCTTTATTTGTTCAGGATTTGTGTATTCTTTTAGACACTCCGTAATGTGATCTCCAATTTTGATAAGACACTGTCTAGTATGTTCTAGTTGTTCCCTTTCTGAAAGACCTTTCTCTGGTCTATCCAGCTGTTTCAGTGCTGCTTTGACAGGCCTCATTCTTTCTTTACACTGTAAAAATAAAGAAATATTCAGAGATCTGACATTCTATCAACATAAAGTGACATTTATAGACACTAGACATCTATAACATGAAGATTCTGCCCACCACTCTTGCTTTTACTGTGTTTTCTAAGAAAATGCAATTTATCGCCAATTTAGCCTTCTGGTAGTGGCACATACCCTGTGGACCACCCTCCCATCAGAGGTTAAGGAGATAAATAACTATACAACTTTTAGAAAACATCTGAAGGCAGCCCTGTATAGGGAAGTTTTTAATGTTTGGTGTTTTATTATGCTTTTGTATTTATTGGAAGCTGCCCAGAGTGGCTGGGGCAAACCAGATGGATGGGCGGGGTACAAATAAAATAATATTTAAATTTTATATGGAGAATCAAACTTAATAATCCATATGAACATATAAAGCATGGTTTAAAACTTTTTAAAGACAGTTTGCAGAGTACAAACTGGGTAGCCATCATCTTTCAAGAGCCATATTTAACCGACGGCCTAATGAACGCTTTTTCTGCTAACAGTGAATCACATGCCTCATGCCAATTAGTAGGACCAAACGACAAAATATTCTGAAGAAGTCTTACAATACTGAATGTCTTCTGATCCAGTTCTTCAGATTCTTCAGATATAGGAACTGGCTCACTACTTGCTGTTATATGAACAGGAGTGTCTGCCGAAGGAGATTTCTTGCTTTTGTCTTTGCTTTCAGATTTGGACTCATTCATCTAGAAATTAAGAGATTCAAAATTTCTGAAGTGATGTGCTAAATATTCACTTCATTAAAAAAAATCATATACTGCTTGATTGCCAAAAAACCACCATTGAAGCAGAGTGATGTACATTAAGGTAAAGCAGCATTTCACACATAACATATATAGACTGGGTACACAATGACGTTACTAGAGAGCAAAATGAAGCATACAAGGCTTTTCCCCTTCCTTTTGAGAGCTTAGTCACAATCCATGTGAAGAGTACAGGAGAGTAAGGAAGTTCCACCTGGTTCTGACTTCTGCATCAGGCCTACCCCCGCCTTCATACCCCACCCCTGCGGGAGAGGAACTAAAAACACAGCATGCTTATTATGGGCACGAAGTGGTCTAATATGGCTCCGACTTAATTACCTTCTCTTCTTTTACTTCTTTCTCTCTCTGCATGTACTCTTTTGCTTTACTTTCCTTCTTCTCTTTTGCATCTTTTTCCCTTAATTCTTTTTTGTCCTCTTTTTCTTTTCTCTCCCTTTTCAGCTCCCTCTTGTTTTCCTTGGCCTCTCTTTTGTCATCAGCCTCCTTCTTCAGAACAATATCTGCATCAGATTTTTCTTCATTTTCTTTTTCTGCTTTTATCTTTTTGCTTGGATGTTTTACTGCAGCCATTTCATCCTGGAACATACATGCATGTACATCAAAATGGCAATTTAAGAAGTTCAGATATAAATATTAGAATCATTTAGTACTTGGTCATTTCTTTTGGTGACATAGCCCTCCATTCAGTTCTATTGCCAAACTTTTATCTGCCACAGCTGCTCCTTTTTCACCTACACATTCAATGGAGCAGAGGTAGATAGGAAAGAGAGCTTCAGCAGACTGGTGCACCCACTTCCAATTTAAATCCAATGTTCAGTTTGTTCCACTTACTGTTGGTTTCTCATGGGAGCCTCCCAGAGCTGGGGAATAAGACAGGGAGAGCTTAGAAACACTCTGCCTCATGTGGGAGGCAAGGCCCATGGCTCCAGAAAGGTGGGGTGGAGGTTCTGGGGTTGTTCTGGCTATGTGCGGTTTTAGCTGTACGCTCAATCCCTGGAACCTAATAACCATGCAAGTTGCAAGCTGTCTGTCATTTGCCCAATCAATTATACTCTGGCCATATTTCAGTTGCTATAGGTTCAAGTCAAGAGAGCTAGTTCACCAGAGGGGTGAAGTCATGAGATGAAATGTCATCTGAATTTGTTGTGGTCTGAGGAAAACCACTACTTTCTCCACTACAGCCCCCTGGCTGAAAAAAGGGGGCTATCTGAATGATAAAACTTCAAAACGGCCAATCAAACAAATAAATCTAATGCTTAAAAATTATTACTTTTTGCACAAATTCAAACTTCTAGATATTCACCTTACTATCTTCCTCTTCTTCTTCCTCAGACTTATCTGAAGGTGGTGGTGATGTATCACTTTTTGTCTCCTCCTTAATTTTTGCTGCTTTTATGGTCTTACTCTTCTTTGTTCTCATTTTCCTTCTTTTTGAGCCTCCCTGAATATCAGAAAAGTGCCATGTTAGATACAAGTTCAAGTAGGTGCACTTAAAAAGATAATACACAGAAAATAACTTACTGCCCCAGATAGTCTTTGTGCTTCCTTCCTTGCAAGATCCTTACTGAGTAATTTTATGAGGTAGTCTGCACGGGTCTGCAACTGTTTGGCTTGGGGTTTCTTATCTGGATCATCTGGAAGAATCTGAAAGAGCAATTTAAGATGCTTTTTTTCCAAGTACAGAAAGTTTTATCAGCTTCATGGATAAGAAAAGATTCACTATACTGGGGAAACTGTCTGAATCTAGATTCTTTCAGCACAACTTTCTTTTTCTTACCAAAAATGGAACACAAGAGTTCTTAAAAGGCCTGGTTTTCACTTGATCCCTAAAGATACCTAATGAAGGTGCCAGGCAAGGCTCCCCAAGGAGAGCATTCCACAAACAGGGAGCCACCGCAGAAAAGGCCTGTTCTCATGTTGCCACCCTCTGCACCTCTCATGGAGGAGGCACACAAAGAACAGCCTCAGCTGATGATTGCAGGGTGAGTCAGTTCATATGGAGAGGGGGGGGGGTTCTTGAGGTACTGCAGTCCCGAGCCATTTTAGACTTTATAGGTAAAAACCAGCACTGCAAGCTAATCGGCAGCCAGTACAGTTGACCCAGGATCGTGGTAATATACCCAAAATGTCTTGCCCTGGTGAGCAACCTGGCTGCCAAATTCTGCACAAGCTGAAGTTTCTGAACCATCTTCAGAGGCTGCCCCACATATAATGCATTGAAGTAATCTATCCTAGAAGTTACCAGAGCATCGATAACAGAAGTTAGGCTATCCCTGTCCAGATAGGGGTGCAGCTGGGCCACTAGCTGAAGAGGCCACTGGAGCCTCAAGCAACAGCAATGGATCCAGAATTACCCTCAAGCTACATACTCGCTTCCTCAGAAGGCGTGTAACCCCATCAAGAGCAGGCAACCTCCCACCCACACTGTCTAGGGAACCGCCCAATAAGTGCCGCAGTCTTATCTAGACGGAGCTTCAGTTTGTTGGCTTTCATCCTGTCCATTAGAAAGGAAAGACAAAAATAATGAACCAGTAACAAAGGAAGCCCTCTCTAAAATTTTCCAGGGATACCATGGAAAAACTAAAAATATAAAAGACTAAAGTGGGAATGCAGAGTGTGAGAAACGAGATACAACAGTCAATCTCATCTAAATGTCTCAAGTCAGAATACAGTCCACTTGGCTACCACTGTAACCATTCAACCAGCAATTTTTGATCTCCTGAATAACATTGTGTTTAGACAGACAGCAGGACTTACCTTTTGTGTCAAGTTGAGATCTGGGTCCATTTTGATCATTTCCCAGCTACCATATCCATATTCATAGATGCCTATTAGAAGATTAGAGTCATCTTCCCTGCCCCAGTCTATATCAAAATGAGCAGCCTTAGTGTGACAAGGAACGGTGTATCTAAATGAAAAACAGTAAGTTCACAAGCTATTTGTATTACCTCTACTGGCAGCTATATACAATATAACCATTAAAAAAGGAAGCAGAAACAGAAGTTTAATGGCACTCTTCCTCTAAAGAGTTCCCTCTCATTTTATGGTTCCCTCTCATTTTATTTTTACGTCAGTGCTATGAACAATAGTGACCCATGTGTGGGGCAAGCCATGGAGCTACCCTCTGGTACTGCTGCAGATTACCTGGAAGGGCTGGGGAGGGGGGGAACGTGGTGACGAAACTGTGAAGGCACACTGGTGAGAGTGCCATACTGACTGTTGGTCCATCTGCATAGCCTTGACCTCACCACGCCTCCGCCCAACCCCCTCCCAGGTAAGTTGCAACAATGCTGGTATCAGAAAGGGGACTCTACCAAATAGGCCATGAGTTCCTGAACAGTCAGGCACTCTAACCACTATATGACACTTGCTCTGCTCTTCATAGGTCTCACTCCTCCGATCTGTGCATAAGAGTGGCTAGAACAGGAAAAAAGCTAGATCAGCTGTGGCAAAAGCAAAGGGTGCTGTTATGTGAATGGAGATATTCAGACTCCAATGTGCTCCAATGTGAGCAATGATGTGGTCACAACTCCCTAGCAACATACCTGCCCCCCCCAATCAAAATAAAACAAATGTAACAAACCTCTTCCTTTCCTCTGGATCGGAAGGAATGGATTTGTGTAATGGTTCCAGCTCTTCTTCATGAGAGATGACTAGTTTTGCATTTACCTGCACTCCCGATATTCGGAACGTTGGGCCTTTAACTTTTCCAAGTCTGCCCCCTTTCAAATAAGAATATAAAACAGGTAAATGTTAGGTCAGTTTTATGCATCTCTATTCCAAAATGTGAAGGAACAAGACGCCCTTTCGACATGAGGTCACTAGAAGGAAGAGGTAATCAATACAAATGTGCTTCAAGGGCATGAACCAACAATGTGCCAGATAGGGAAAAAAGCAACAAGGAGTGCTGCTGACATGGACTAACAGTTTCAGGTCAAGTGAAGAATATGGCCTCACTTATACTTCACACATCTATGTAAATCTTATCACAACAGAACTTAATCCATTAATTGGTAACATCCAGCTTTTGTGCTTCAGCCAAAAAGGCGCCCAGAGCTGTTTAAAAAACAAGCAAGTTACTGTCCTGAGGTTTATAATTTACACCAGAGGTTTTCAACCTTTTTGAGTCCACGGCTCCCTTGACCAACTACATTCTTTCTGTGGCACCCCTGTGGGGTTCAGGAGCCCAGTTATGTCACCCCTTGTCTGCAGAGCTGGCAGCCTGTCACCCTTTTTTTGAACACCTTCCCTTCTGGAGCGTTCCCTCAGCCTCCTATCCCCTCTCCTTGGGAGATTGCCGGGCAGCAGCTGCTGCAGCAACGAACAGCTGTGCAAGCCTTTGGAGGCAGAGATGCAAGAGGGCATCAGAGGAGGAGGGAAGTGAAGAGGGACAGAGGTCAGTGTTGCCAGTGGCACCCCTAACCATCATTCATGGTACCCCATGGTGCCACGGCACACTGGTTGAAAACCACTGATCTAAACAGACACAACAGAAAATGAAAAAGGAATGGGGGGAGAGATTGGGGGTGGGGAAGCAAGACCAGGCTCCAGTTTTTAAAGTGCTTATGAAAACAGGCTGATTTGGAAACAGTTCGGGAACAGAAGGAGCTGGTCTCTAGGCAGTTAATGGAGGGCTCTGCATCCCATCTCCTGCTCTCTCCTGCATGCATCTGAAGAAGTGTGCATACACACAAAAGCTTATACCCAGAACAAACTTAGTTGGCCTCTAAGGTGCTACTGGAAATTTTATTTATTTGTACAGTTATGAGTATAGCTGGAGCTAGGAAGAAACACCAGAACAATCATGGGAACTACTGTCAATCCCATATCCCTGTTCAAAGGCTGTTTGACCACTCAGGAACATGGCAAGGAAGGTTGGGACTGCTTGTTTGGGCAGAAAAAGAAGTGTCACAGGAGCTCACTTCTTTAGTTCTTGGCATGGGTTATAAGCAATCTCTTCCTCCGCCCCCTGGAAGCTGTACCTGCTCTTTCTTGTCCAGATGAGATGTCCTTTAAAGCCTTGATACATCCATTATGTACCAGCTCTCCAAGCCGTCGGAGGTCTGTCTCAGATTTATCGACTAATTCAGCATCTCTTGCTATGGCATCTAACCTGCAACAGAGCAGAAGTATCATAGCTCTCATATCAGTATGTGAGAAATGAAAAGCAGAATATGCATTAATACTAGATACAGTATTTATACAACCTTCTTAATGAGGAAATTCAAGACGTCAACCCTCCCCAATAGCCTCTTGTAGTAGCACTCCCTGGTAGTCACAGCAGGCAATGGATGCATATTATTTTATTTTTAAAAAAATACCAGTTCTACACTAGCCTCCCCAGGTGCTCTAACAAGGCACACTTGTTATTTGGTCACTCAGCATACTGCCTGGCAAATTCCTTATCCATTGTTCTGGCAGAGGCTGATCTCCCCTCAGCAATATGAGTAGATTCCTCCCATCCCAAGCTTCTAACACACCCAGTAGGAGCCCGTTGCTGATTTCAGAGAAAGAGGGTTTGATTAGACATAGTCCCTTGCTAAGTGAGTAATGTAAATTAGCTTTAGGACAATTTTTCTCTCTTTCTAAAACACACACCTGCTCTCTCTGTGTTAGAAAAATATCACGTTACTGAACATCTCAGGTGTGAATTATGCTTCTGACTTTGCTTGCTGCCTCTTACATCTTTGGAGTGCAAGTCTCCTGTTATGTCCAAACATGGCCACTATGGTCACCATGCTCAGAACAAGCCAGGGTCTCCAGCCAACCTCAAACCAAGAAATAGATTTCCTGATTTAGCAGCAGAAAGAAGATGCCATGGTTTGAGGCAAAGCTTGCACTAAGCTATGTTTTGTTTGTTTGAACTGCACCACTCAGTTTACTGACTCCCCCCAAAATAGCAAAACCACCTTATCTGTGCTCCTTGAACATGCAAGGAGCAGTATTAATAATTATACTTTCCCATGAATAAATGGATTTTAATACCTACAATCATATTTGCATTGGAAAAATCTATCCATCACCATTTCAATGAAGGATCACCGAAACTTCAATGCTGTTTTTGCCTTTTAAAAATGCAGTGCAGGAATATTTCATTATCATTTTAAAAGTTCTCAGCTGCTAGGTAGGCAAGCTTACCTTTCAAGAGGTCCCCCAAATTTCTTGTAACTCTTGATAAACCTTTTTTTGTAAAAACAAAAAGTGATATGTTAATTACATGGTCCTTATATCATATCTTTTTCAAGATAAACCAGTAAAATATGCATGCAAGAAAAATACACTACGTAAAGTTAAGAAGGGAAAATATTTGGTAACTTCAGTGAATAAAGACAATCTATAGAGGATATTCTACTGAAGTTAGCGTGCCCATAAAGAATCTATATGAGAGAATATAATGTGTAAATACAAAGCTAAGTTTCAAAATTCTTTTTTAAAAAATGTACTATCTTCCACAAATAATATAAAAAAAGGTCTCGATCCTATATACATTTACTCAAATGTAGGTTCCACTGAGCTTTTTGTGGGGATGGGATTGAAACCAAAGGCACTTCAGAAACCGATGTTTTAGGTTGTCAAAATATGGCAATGGAGAGTAAGAATACTTTTTAAATTATGAAAGTAACCAGATTCATGTTTACTACAGTAAAGTGTCTAATATGTCAAAATAGATACTATTAAATATTTCCATACACTACCAGATGCCATGCAGAGAGAAAGAGATGCTGGACTACAACCTTCTCTATACTGAATTGCCATTATAGATTATATAAATATTAATTTATTTCAATCCAAAATCCATGCTATTTGGCAACCCAAGCAAAAGGAAATAATTTGAGTTTCTTTCTAAAATGGCTTGTAGAACTTTAAATGGGGTGGGGAAGATGCAGGTACTGCGATATAAACCCAAAATTCTGTAAATGTAACCACTCTATTTGAATTCAAACAAACATGTACCCTCAATGTAATAGCTTAATGTAATGTGTGAAACAGTATTTATCAAAGTAATTGAAAAGGAAGCGTGATTTTTAAGACATGTAACATACAAGCATTTCAAGCTTCCAATGAAGAATTTTCCTATTACTTTCCCCTTGTAGATCTTCCCCCTTCCCCATTTCTTACCGCCGAATCTCTGCATCACTAAATCCTTTAATGTTTTCCCGTGGAATAGTCCGTGGTCTTCCACGTTTTTTGGGTCGTTTTCTTTCCGAGATGGAGTCACTATCTGATCCAGAATACCTTCTGTTTCTACAACGTCTGCCTTCGCTTCCATTGAAGCTGATCTGTATTTTTTATTTTAAAAAACAGTGCAAAATGTAAGTGTTCCATTTCTGAAACTAAAGCAAATTTCAACATTTCAAGTACAATTTGTTCCAACACAAAATGCAATGGGAAGGAAAGCCTCTCAAAAGTAATCTTTACCTGTTTTGCACAGTTTCTCATTCTGGGTAACATATAAATTTCTTCCAGTTCCTTTTGCCTTTCCTCTTCTTCTAATCTTCTCCTATGGACCTCTGGAATGATTTCTTCCCAGTTCCTTGAATTTTGTTCAGGCTCCAGTTCAATGTCATCTTCATCCATATTGGAGAAATTTGCCACCTATTAAAATGGTAGTTTTGATAAAAGTAATTACAAATGACAACACACTCCAAATACAAGAAACAGGGCTAACCTGAGCATCATGACTTCAATGGGTCAACTCTAAGCATGATTAATCTGGGATCCTATCCTTTGTGCACTCTTCCCCAAATGTGTTTTGGTCATCTTTTCTGCTTGTCTGTGTTAGAGGCCCTAGCATAAAGTTACTGAGGGCTTGCTAACTTACAGACCAATCTTATGCATGCCAACGTGGATGTTAAGTTCCAGCGAGTCCAATTACTTACTCTCAATACTTACTCACAGGATAGCAGCCACAGTGTCAGATGATTATGTATTTATTTATACACACTATACCTCTCCAGAAACTCAAGGAAGTTTCTAACAACAATAGTAAGCTTTCCTTTTCTCTCTGGAGTCCATACAGGTAGGACCATGCAGAGTTTGTCTGAGGCCCAGGGCAGGAGTCTTGCTAGAATAAAGTTATAAACTTGAACAAAAAAAATCATCTGGTCCCTGGTGGGGGGCCCTTGCCAGTTTAGCTTTCCGAGGCAAGTGTACCTGCCTCCCCCTTTATGGGTCTGCATACAGGGAAGAGGCACAAAAGTTCTTAGTAAGCTTTAAAAAATTAAAGAAATCTCAACATTCAAGTGCTTAAAAAGGGGTAGAGGTGACCACATTCTTCTAAACAGATTTTGAAAAACTGTTTCCCGAGGAAAAACTTGGAGCTTTTAACAGAAAGCATTTCTAAAATGGAGTTGCTTTTAATAATTTTTGCTTAACATAATTATGGAATGAAAAAGTACAGTACCTTAAACTGGGAAAGCAATTCATCTCCGACACTTAATGGGCCAGTTTCATTTTCCCGTGTTTCAGCCCTCTTCAAGATTTCATCTATGTCCATTTCCTGAAGAAGAAGAAAAAATCTTACTGATGGAATGTTGATTTGAATAGACCAAAAAATCAAATGCTAGGATGTTAACCTTACTTGTGGCTCTTGTTCTTCACCTTCCAGTTCCTTAAAAAGTTCCTCAGCACCAAACTTTAAAATAGCTGACAGCTCCTCTTTGTTAAAAGGAGTAGAGCTAAAAATAAAGGGAAACATGTTACTCTTTTACTCAGCACAAGGCACAAAAATGTGTGTGTCTAAGATACTAGATGCCCACAGACAATGAGCTGACACATTCAATCAATAACATAAATTCAGAGTTTCTCCTAGAATTGTGTCTTGGTTCCTTAAGCTTCTTAGGTCACCGTAATCCACAGCAATAGGGAAAACGTCAGGCAGAGGGATTCTCTTCCTTTGGTTACTGCCCTCCTTTCTTCAACCCTCCCCTATGTTTATCTTTCTATTATTATATTTTTCAGCAGTTCTGGGTCAATTCAGTTTGGCCCCTTCAGAACCATTGCTCTAATAAGGGAGGAAGGAATCGGTCTGAAGCCATCTTCTATCATTTGAGAAGGGCAGAAAGGACTGCATGATGGGAAAGCAAGTGATATCTCAGGTGATGCCTATCTGTTAGTTTCAGGAGCCAGGAGATTTAGCCCTGACATCCTGAGAGAAAGAAGATGATTGGCAAGTTTTGCAACCTTGGACAAGTCAACATAACTGCCTTAACATTGTGAAGGATTATCTGCATATTTTTGGGAAGTTGTCTGTTAGATATGCTTACAGTTCATCCCCAAAGGTATACCTAGAAGGTGCAGAACCTGTGTGCAGCACAGTCTTTCCTGTAGTGTCCATTCTCTGAATGACAAGGTGATCTAAAACCATTTTCTTCTTGGCTCTTTCCAGGATATCTTCCTCTACAGATCCTTTAGTGACTAGCCGATAAATGTTTACCTGTGAACAACCAAACAAAAAATAAAAGATTTACGGGAATCACTAAAGTAATAGGAAATAATGTGAAGTTTTAGTCACAAATAAAACTCCCGAATGCCTTGGGAGTCGAACGCTCTGGCTCCCGAATGATCAAAAATTGGAAGTGAGTGTTCCAGGTTTCCGAACGTTTTTTGGAAGCTGAACGTCCGGCACGGCTTCCGCTATTGTTTCCGGTGCGCCTGTGCAATAGGAAACCAATTGGAAGCCACGCCTTGGTTTCCAAGCGTTTCGGAAGTTGAATGGACTTCCGGAATGGATTCCGTTCGACTTCCAAGGTACGACTGTATATTAAATTTAAAATGGCATTCATATTTTTAACTCCTCTTAAATGTGTAATGCGCTTGGAGCAATTATGTGACAGTCTTTTAGAGGTATTTGAATGAACAGTATATTCCAACAAGACATGTTTCTACCTCCAGAGGCTGCAATTCTACAACAAGAAACCATGCAAGCCCTCAATTCTGCAGCGAGAATCATTTCTGCTCTAACAACACAGGGGGTAGTGGCCCAGAGAGGATATTCTCTGTGGCAGCGCCTAAGTTGTAGAATTCCCTCCCCACAGAGGTGTGTCTGGCACCTTCAATGTACAGCTTCTGGTGAACACTGAAGATGCAGCTTTTAACCCTGGCTTTTACATTTGAGGTATATATTTTTAGGATCCACCTTATTTTTGTGATTCTAAGTTGTTTTAAACTAGTGTTCATATTGTGTTTTAGTGTTGCAATCTGCCCTGGCACCTTAGGGTGAAGGGTAGGCAATAAATAAATAAAATTTCATATGTAAATGCTGTTGCTGCTGTGAAACCCAAATCTAGTTTCCTATGGCCTTGCTATCAGCATTTTCCCCTTTTGTGAATCTTCACTGCACAGATGCAAGGAGATGTTAGGCTGATCACAGTGGTGGAATATCTCCAGAATTCCATGGCTAGCCTGAAAGCTTTATGCATAGTTTATGGGGAGCAGAGCTCCTCTGTCTCTGTGGAGATGGGAGCACACACAGTTCACTGCTGGTGGACTGCAGCCAAGGTATATGAAGCGTACTTGCACTCTTTTAAATATATTCTATCATATAAACATTTATATGCTAGTACTGTGTTTGTTGGAGTCAGGCTGCTAGTTTTGGGAACTGGGCACATTAAAGTTGTCTTTCTATTAAAAAGTTGAATTCTTTAGTTAATTGTTAACACACACACACACACACACACAACAAACAAACAAACAAACCACATATTGATAAATACAAGTAAACTAACACATCCATAAAACATGACCCAGACATTCAAACCACGTCACTTGAGGGGCGGGGGGAATAAACACAGATAAACACACGTATATATGTAAACTGGATTTCATATAATTTGTTCCTGTCCCCAACCAAGTACCTAAATCAAACAAGACATATGTACCTGTTTCTTCTGCCCAATCCTATGAGCTCTAGCCTGTGCTTGCAGATCATTCTGAGGGTTCCAGTCAGAATCAAATATAACAACAGTATCTGCAGATGCCAAGTTTATGCCTAGACCTCCAGCTCTGGTAGACAGTAAAAAGCAGAAGTCCTGGAATTAAGAGAGACAGGAAGACTGAAACAAAAACTGTAAAAATATACCTAACAGGATAGTTAACGGATACATTTTGAGATTCAAAGTACTGTATACATTAAAATTGTTTTAAACTACTTAAGAATGCAATTATTCTAAAACTGCCCAAAACTGTACCAAAACATTTGTCTCCAACACAAACAATGTTGTAAAATAAACTGCTGACCTTAAACAAAGTACTACAGTTCCATTTTGTAACATAAAATCCTGGATTTCACTATGAAGGTTTTTGTTATAGCTGTTTATAAGATGGGAAATATCCTTTTCTGCTGCTAGAAACAAAACACATCCCTTAAAAGATAAAACAAAACACAAAACAGGCAAGTGAACACATTACCTCAGAACCTTCTGCATTAAAATGGTCCAGTGCTTGTTTCCTCAGTTCTCCTTTTATTGACCCATCTAGCCTCTGGAGAGAAAAAGACCAATTAGACTAAGACTGTGCTAGTGTGTAAACAGCATGAGGCCAACAAATAAATGTGCGCACAGTGATATAATTTAACAGTAAGCTCTTACCTGAAAGGGAAACTGACGATATTTCAAATATTCAGCAAGGATGTCCAGCATCCGCACCATTTGAGAAAATATAAGCACTCTGCTGCCACGTTCTCGTAAGCGAATCAGCAGCTTGTCTAAAAGAATGAGCTTCCCACTACTCCGGATTAAATTCTTGAAAGAAAACACAAGACATAAAAAAATCAACGACTGCATGGAAGATCATGTCTGTACATTAACGTTAATGCATTTTGTGGGAACTACCAGAAACCAAAGGTAGAAACCACAAATCAAAAATTTAAGGAAGTCTGAATATGCCTAACACGATTACATCTATTCCTGTGCACAGAATTCTTAGATTTAAAAAGCTACACTATGCAGTGGGCAAGCAGGGGGAACATTCTCAGCTGCAGCACCATGTTTGCGGAACTTCCTCCCCAGATATGTTTACTTGGTGGTGGTAATAATAATAATAATAATAATAATAATAATAATAATAATAATAATAATAATATAATCTTTCCTAGGCTATTTAATTAACATTTAAAAACCCAGTAATCTGATCATTGCATTTTAATTTGTTTTATATACAGAACAAGACGTGAAATTTTACCTGTAAGGCCTCCTGTTTAATATAGAATTCATTATCATCTGGTGGTTTAATGAGGTAGCAATGATTGCAACACTTTTTGAGCTCCATCATGACATTCAGAAAGCCTGAGGTACTGCCCTTTGAACCTTTACTTAAGGCTTTGTAATTCCTAGTTAAAATCCACCTGATATTTTAAAAAAAAGTGTATTGTCAGTAATGAAACTGTGGAAAACAGAAAATTTTTAAAAATGCTTGCAGGCAGGTATGAAAGAAACCTGCTCACTTTTCACTGTGTGAATTATTTTGACAGCCACAATAAATTACTTACTTATAATATTGCTTTTGCAATGCACTCATCTCCATTCTTAAAATTTGTTCAACCTTGGCAGGAAGAGATTTTTCTACGTCCTTCTTAACTCTCCTTAATAGAAATGGTTCGAGTTCTTTGTGAAGACTTGCGTAGCCAAATTCCCTTCCTTTCCCATGTTCCTCTTCAAAATCTTCCCAAGAAGAAAACCTTCAATATAAAATTTAACATTCTAAATTGTGGCAAATTTTCAATATAACCATTGTAGTAGATTTTCAAAATAAACATACATGCTATGCCAGTAGTCTTACTGTACTATTATACATGACATCCTGGACATACACACAAGTTCTCAGACTTGAGAAAAACAAGCGTGTAATCAGCCAAGTTAGTAAGCCAATAGAAAATTTGAATTATGAAAAATAAATGACCCTTGTTTTTAAACATTTCACTAAGTTCTATGCTACTTAGTTTTAAAGCAGCTTAAGCACTGTACACATTCCTATACACACTTACTTAGCAGTAAGTCCCACTTGAATTTAATGGGACTTACTTCCGAGTGACACGCCAAAAAAGAAAAAAGGGAAAAAAAGCTCTGCTAATTTATTCTCCCTTCTTTTCTGACCATTCCGTCTCCATTTTAATTTCCTTCCACTTTGTTCATGCTTGTCCATAAGAAAAATATGGGCAAGTAGCAATATTTAGGCTGCTGTCACTCTCTCAACATACTGAAGGAAAAGTAAAAGGTAAACAAACAAGACTTTACCGGGAGAGATATAAACGATTCTACTGGCAGAGATCATACGGATACAAAAAAACAACACCCCTGCCTTCAAAGGGTTCTCCAATAATCCCCAGCAAGATTCCTAGTACAGCCACGATGCTCAGGTTTCTATCTTAATAAAAATCTGTATAGTAGTTAGTAGAAGTAAACAAATAATCGGAGTCTTTTCAGCAGCTTTCTGTAGTTACACAAATTTACAAACTGCTAATGTAAGCACCCTTTAAAATTAAACTGGTCTAAGTGATTCTATTTAATTTATTTAAATTGGCTGTTGCTGTTTGAGGGGTTTTTTTATTTGATATATTAGTTTTCTGTATTATTAGAATAATCATTGCTATCATTTTAATTTTAACTTCCTGTTTCTTATTATTTTGCTTCGCTACCCTAAAAACAAATCTACAGTATGTTGAAGACGTATGGTTTACATAAACAAATAAAAGTAGCCAGTATATCAGAAGACCATTATTTACCTCTATTGCGAGACTATACGGAAAAAATACAAAACAAAGGGTTGTGCTCAACTAAATTCTAGACCCATTGAAATTAGTATACATAAATTGGGCATGCCCATTAATAGCAGAACTTAGCTGGACACAAGCCAAAGCAGCTAAAATAAATAGGTGACCTCTGATGGCTGTTACTATTATGCTCTGCCTGTAAGCTTCCCAGAGGCATTGGACTTTTTGTTTTAACATGGTTCCAGTGTCACTTAAAGCCGGCTAACAACATAAACAAATAAACTCTCCAGACATTATGCACCAAAACAAAGCAATAGACAAACCAGCAAAGCTGTAGTCCCTACCATTTTTCAAGGAGTGCTAGTTAAATAATTATACTAACTATACATGGCTAGTATAGTAAGTTTACCTACTTATCTGGCATGATGAAGTGCAGCAAGGACCAGAGCTCTTTCAGGGAATTTTGCAGAGGTGTTCCAGTGATAAGGAGGCGATGATTGGACTTGAAGTCTATTAACGTCTTGTACAAGAGGGAATCATCATTTTTTAATCGATGGGCTTCATCTACTCCTATAAATGCCCAGTTCAGACCACCAAGGAATGACTGTTCAAATAAAATAAAAATGAATGCCTTTTTTTTTCAGAGATTAAGCATTTAAAATGGCAATTAAAGTGATGCTGTAGAAAAATGAACATCTAATCTATTAAAAACTTTCTACTTCCTTCCACAAAATTGAAAACAACTGCCTTTTTCAGTAATAAAATTCACAAGTCACTTCTTCTACTGAACCTAAGAACTGTTGATAGGCAAGTTTAGTTCCTTCGGTATTCTGCTTTCATTTTGAGAAGTGAGTGGTGGTCAAATTACTTACCTTATCCTTCAGTAAAATTTCGTAAGTTGTCAGAAGGATGTTAAATTTCAATCTTTTGGTCTGTAGATGCATCCATTCATGTGTTCTTATCTGCAGACAAAGTTGGTGAGAAATTAAGGTTATGAAATAACCCAAATTCTGATAATATTCGATGCTGTTAGCTTCTAAACATTACCTTACACACAAGCTAAGTGCTCATAAATATGAAAGTGAGTAAGTAGGATCGGATTAAAATAGCTACCTATTGAGAAAGCAGCTGGTGCTGCACAACCAATGCAATATACTTCTGCACCAGCACAGCTTAACCTGTTTCTTTGTAACTGTCCCTTTGCAGCTATGTTACAAAACAGAGAAACTGATCCAACTTTAGAGTGTAAACCACACATGCAGTACACAACACAAGCAATTACCTTGCTCATTCTGGTCCTTCTAGAGAGCCTTTATGGAAGAAAGACCCTTTATACTAACCAGAGGCAGAAGCCAGGGAAATAGCTTTTATTTACAAACACATTTCACAAAAGAAAATGCATATTTTGTCTTTTTATTTACTTGTAAATCTCTATTTCCCTTGAGAAACAAGATAACAGCCCAGACTGTGGCAAAGTCATTCCCTCTGGGATGAGAGGAAGCAAGATTAAGATTGATGAGGGAAGAGCTTTTTCTTAGGTCCATTGAAAAGTAATTTATTAACTTATCAGCCTAACCTTTTCCACAAGGTTGTTGTGAAGATAAAATTGGAATGGGGACCAGAATCAAATAGGTTTCCCAGACCTCCTTGGTGGTATTAAAATGCTGCATTATATCTATTTATCAACACACATTTTATATCCATGTATCTCTACCTATGCAAAACCTGTATCTAACTATCTGTGGAAGTGTGTGTAGGCTTACAAAGATAATTATAAGCAAAGGTTCATAACTATATGAGAAGTCCGTAAGTAAAAAAACAACCACCACCTTTTCAAGATGCCGACCTAGGAACTGTGCCAAATAGCCTAATGAGACAAGTTTCTGTTGCTCAACTGCCTGCTAATATAAACCTTGTTAGTACACCTGTTTATATGAATTACGCCTGTTTATTTGCCAACTGATACTGAAAGTCCAGGAGACTTAACAGCGCTGCTTAGAGCTCAACATATACTTTGACTCAAATGAATTCTGAGGAATTCTATGGAATTCAAATTGTAACACAATTTGCCCAGGCATTTGGTGATGAATACAGCAACGGACTTCTGTTGTATCTACAAAGCAAGGAAATATCTTGGTTGTGCTGCTGTGAACTTCAGCATCCACAACTTGGAGCACCTTTTCTCCAGCAATTTGCTGAAGTACTTCAGAGACAGAATGGCTCGTTTCCTCCTACTGATTTCCAGCATGGTGAAAAAATATGCCCAATGCCTCATGGGCTGGAACCAATTCTAAAGCTTGAAACTGAAGCAGATATGACTGATTTTGAACAAGTGCCTGAGAAGGCTTTTCAATCATGTACTGGGCACAAACCAATTTCTAGATTAGTATCATCACTCTATTACGCACTGTTCTCTGACATTTTCCAGGATCAACTTATCTGATGCTGTCATCTCTCAGATTGCAAAGGCTATAAATGACTGCCCACTTACAAAGCAGGACAAGAGGGTAGTGCCACTGATTAGAAAGCACACTGAGATACTTAGCAGGGTCTTGGAAAACCCTTTATCCTCTGATACCTGAAGTTGCTACACTACCGCAATTCCCACCGCACCCTTCTCTTCGGACAGTAACATCTAATCCAGATTATGCTATTGGGCCTTTAGGAGAGTTGGGTCCTATGGCGTGATGGGGATCTGTAGGGAGACACATGAAAACATTTCATTGGTTCGAAAATGGGTATCTGGTGAGTTGGGAGATCCTATAAACAGGTCCTTCTGAGTCTAGGTGAGTACTGCCTGAAGGCTCAATCATGATAGTGACAGACAGGAGAAGTTCTGTGGAACAGGATTGTTTCTGGCACGGCTATAGTCACTACTGCTACCTGGCTAAATATATCTTACCCCGGAAGAAAGAGGGATAAAGAGTAACAGTTAATCATGTTCTTGCCTGAATGGTTTGTTCCTCAGAGTGGTCATCTGCCCCACCCCACACCTGCCCTGTTTTACTGTACAAATGAGGAACTGAAAGATGGAACTGTTATTCTGCAGTTCTTTTCTGTCTCCTAGCTTTCCTACCTTCTCTCTCCCCCTCCCTTTTGCTCCAAACATTTCTTTCTCTTTAGAGGCAGGAAAGCATTTCACCCCTGCAAATAAATTACTTTGAGAATAACTTGTCAATCTGAATCCTGCATTCTGCCATGAAGAGAGATTGACTTCAAAGTAGCTGAAACTATTGTCTTGTTCCCAAGAAAGAATTAAAGCTCCTTGAGTACCAGAGTTAAATGTGCTTAATGCTTGATCAGTATAACACTTTACTTCTTGATCAACGATGAGGAAGTTTATTTTAACAAGCAACAGCAAAAAGCAGTCAGTGAATTTTATTAAGAAAATTTGTAAATTAAAAGACTGTTAAAATATTGCTTAGTTCAAGGGTAACAAAGAAGATTAAATCAAAATGAATGGAAGTATTTTCAGTTGCATTTGTAGTAGATTCAAAAGAACTGATAAGCATAATGTAAATTTCAAATATAACATGCTAAGACCTATAGTTTCATATTTTACAGTCCATTCCATTACTGAATAAAGCTATTATCCGTAAATACCTCTCTAATGAATTATTACATTTTAACTATGTGAGTTCAGTAAATTGAAGCTTGAATGAATACTGCTTTTTGGTTAGTTGGCCTCCCTTTGTCTTAGCAGACAATGGAAGAGTCTCTGCCATTTCCTAGATAGCAGCAATGTATTTGGCAGAAATGAAAGGCTAATATTTCTGTTATTCAACCAAGTATCAAAATATTGGAGAATACACACTTTATTTTACTTACAAAAATATTAAATATTACCAAAAACAAGCAACTCTTTAAAATAAATGTGAAATTTGGTTAATTTTAATCTTTCCAATACCATCTCTGTATAAGCACTAATTTTGGATCTACTAAGAATACAGTGACACTGTAGAATTTGATCACTTACCACATTTCTGCTAGTAATATCCCCCAGATAAACTACAGCATTCATCTGGGGAGCCCATATCTGGATTTCTCTTTGCCAAGATGTCAAAGTGGAAAGTGGTACTACCAGCAAGAAAGGTCCATATAACTGGTGTTCATGAAACAAATAATTCAGAAAGGAGATAGTTTGTATTGTTTTGCCCAAGCCCATTTCATCTGCAAGAATGCAACTGTTGCTCCTGTAAAGTGAGGTATATAAAACATGGCAAATTTCAGAATGACAGTTGCAGTATTTCTCCCACAAGAGCAGATTTCACCATTTTGCAGTGGGTACAAGAGGAATCATCGGGTGGGGGGGAGTGGGAAAAAGACAATAGTTCCCCAGGAAAGACTGGAGGAGGACATTTCAGAGCCTAGCAAAGACCCTGTTACCCCAAGGATTTTGAGAGGGGCTTCTGTTCCTTCCCACAATGAATTTTGGGGATATAGCCTCTATTTCCCCCAGGATAGCAAAATTTCATCACTGCATAGTGCGAAAGGTTGGCAAAAAAGGCCAGACTCTCAGGAAAGTCTAGTGTATGGAAATATCCCCCTCAGCATATGTCACTGGTGGGGTTAGGTCATGGGCATCTGTGCCATCGGACAACAGGTGCAGCAAAGCGATTCAGAAGCTTAGGTAGTCACTGACAGGACAGAAATGCTTTGTTAATGGCACAATCTGACCTAGGATCTGAGAACCTTCCCCAATTTTTTTCCATTCATCTTGTAATTCAGGGTACACACAGAATCAACACACACCACTCATTTAAACACACATACCAAACAATAAAAACTGAACCATGTAAGTTTAAGTCCTATCTTCAGATTTTAACTAGCTTTCGATTTTTGATGATCATGCTTTTTTTAAAAAAAAGTCTGCATGGAAATAAGAATGGGATATAAATAACTATTTTTGTACAATCCATTAAACATAACTACCACACACAGAGATATATTTATTAAGTGGCAAATGTGTATGACTGTGCTCCTGTTAAGCTTGTAAAATAAAATATGTATGTGTATTTAACATATAATTGCAACATTTTATAATGTACTTACTTGCACCAAGAGTGAGCTAACCAGTTCAGTCCATTTAACTGATAATCTCTTAGCTCTAAACCTTCATGCCCTCCAATGTAAGATGGTTGTTTCTTTAGGGCCACAAACCTTGGCCTCTGCTTTAAAACCTGACAAAAGAGGAGTGGCGAGAATATCACTACTTCTTCCAATGCAAGTATAGAAAATTAAAACAATCGTTATGCAAGTGAAAAACTGAATCTACTACAGCCAAGGACCAACTTCCACCCTGAGCATCATGCTTAAAAAAGTAGTTCTTAAATAGTTGAAACCATTAAAGCTTATACTTCTACTTGTTGGATTAGATTTCACATACAGCAGATGAAGTGGTAAAGCTATGCCTGGCATCATTCAGTCAAATGCCTCTCTATACAAAATAATTCTCTGACACAGAAAATAAGATGTCGGGAAGAACGTTAGGCTTAATCCCTTATTCCTAATCAATAGTATTCTATGCAGGTTTCTTCTTCTTTTTGAATTGAGCTGCCATTTGCAAAATGGCAGTGGTATAGCCTGACACCGGATATTACTTCAACTGAAGGAGACATTGTTAAAAGAAACATTAATGTACCCACCTTACAGTCCTTAAAAGGAGTTGTCTTGGATTGATTTCTGCTAAAATACTCGTCAATGCGTGACTGGAATTTTTTTGCAATGAGAGCACCATCTTCCCAGCTGCATTCTGAGTAAGGGAGACCCTGCCATTTACAATAATAGTCTGGATAACCTGCTGCTGACTTCTGATTTGAATGAGCTGTGGGAAATATATGTTTAAAATGAAATTTAACACTGACACATAATTAGGCTCAAATAAGGCACTATGCTGAACAACTCATGAATAGATGAACAACTTATGGATATAGCTGTAGGGACATTGACATGTACATTGAAAGTCTTTAAAATAGTTTATAAAGTACGATGAGATACAACTTCTTTCCAACTACATGAACACAGAAAAACTTAAATGCATGCATCATGCTGGTATATCATCATTATTTCTAGTTTCAAAATCTGTCACTTACCAATTATTCTTTCTACTATTTGATACTGTTTGTGCAAATCATCTGTGAGTTCTTGCTGGCAGTTATAATATTCCACATCCTCTGGAGAAGCATTTTTTAACCTGGAATGAAATCACACAGCGTATTCATTATAACCCTGTAGAATGTAGTTTACTATTCTTCTAACTTTCAACAGAAGTACAGGAAGATTGATTAGAAGGTAAGTAAACTGGAAATCTATAAAGTTAGAAAGCACAACCTGGAGGCAACATTCTATTACTCTCCTCTTCCTCTTTTTATCTTTGCAACAGTCCCACAACATAAATGAGGTTCAGTTGATATTTGTACATAAGAGGTTCTTGGCAATAGATTGGGCGGTGTGTGTGTGTGTGTGTGTGTGTGTGTGTGTGTGTGTGTAGATGCAGAGAGCTCAGTCTGCATTCAATGAACTACATCCAATGAATCCTGTTGGCAACCCTGACAAGTCAGTAACTACTATTAGTGTTTTGAGTCAAAGAAATATATTGGAATCCATATTTTCACTAATTCTTTCTTACCCAATGTAGCCCCTCCATCCTACCAAAAGGCTATTGGTTCTTCTGGAACAGTATGGAGTGGTCTCCAAGTGCTGTGGACTACAACACCCATCACCGCTGCTAGCATGGCCCAGGATGATATGAGCTGTAGTCCAAAACAGCTGGAGGGCACCACACTGGTTATCCCTGTAATATGGCTTAAAGGGCTGCAATTGAGAATAGGGATTGGTGAAAATAGGGTACCTCACCTTGTTGTAGTGGAAGCATTTCTGCTGGCACAAAGCCACAACTGGATACAGCACACAGTAACCATTAAGAATCCTGCATAATGCTGAACCTTAAATCTGCAGGTCAACAGTACTATAGTACTTTGAATTTTTTAAAAAACCATTATGAATAAATTACATCTGCCTTATTCAGCATTCTGCCAATTATGTTCATGCATGAATAAAGACATGTGCCAAATAAATACTTAAATAATATACAATATGTGCTTGTATTATACTTTTACAATAAACAATACTTGCCACCGTTTTGTTTCTTGATCCTTTTTCTTATAGTTGTCCAGTTTCTTCATTCCTCTAACATTCTGCTGTTTCAGGGTTTCTTCCGTTTCCCAAGTGTTATGGATGTGAGACCAGCCTTTCCATTTAATCAAGTACTGCACGTCACCAGGTTCTGTTGCTTTATCAAATCCTGCATTTGGATCTCCATCAGCTTCAACTGCATAGATAGTGGTTGTAGCACCAGTTGCTGAAAAAGAGCATGACAACAGCATCAACTGCAATGCTAAAGGGCTTTAGATAGCACAGCAAACATTGTTAGATTGGTTTTAGATGACAGAAGCATCTATAATCACTCCATGAAGTTGTACTAGAATGCTGGTACATCGCTGTGCTATTTAAAAGTTCAATACAAACTATATTAATGCCAAAAGTATGTGTTGACACCAACATATACAGCAAAACTACAGCAAAGAAAGTGAAAAATAGGACAGCACTGAAACAACATATATAACCAAAATATTTTGTAATACATACAAAAAAACCTAACAGTTTTATTAACAAGGTTGTTAAAATATCAGTTACTGTACCATTCACAACATGTACTTCTCATATATTTCATCCAATAGAAATAATTTGAAACATTATTCATCAGCTTGAGAAGTTTTACAAATATAAGTCAATATTACCTCCTTTTCTTCCAATGCGGCTATCCATGAATTTTTCAATTGTCTCGAATTCATCTTCTTCAGGCTGTGGGACATCCTCTCCACAGACTTCCAGCAGATCATCTGAATCTGTCTTTGCTTCTTCAGCTTCTTTGTAACTAACATTTACTGTTGCCTGGCGGCGAGATCCTCTTTTATCATAATCGTCATCGTCGTCATCATCATCTGATGAGTCAAGCTGCCTTTTCTTCTGCCCCCCACTTTTCTTTCCACTTTTTTGCTTTATTCTTAAACATTTGAAGAAAAATAAAAGAAAAACAGACTTTCATAACACTCATCAGTAAAAGCCCTAGAATAAATGGCAGGCAAAGATGCTCAGAACCCTGTAGGTTGTGCCGGAGCACAAATTTTTATTAACTTCCTGTAGTAAATCTCTGAATCTGCAGACTATCAGATTTCTTTTTTTCTTTTTTTTTTTTGACATTTTAAAAACATTTTTATTATACTAAATGTTTGTCTATTCAAATAAAATACCCAACCGTCCCAACACCATTAAGGAGTTGAGTCTAGCCAGTTTCTTATACCATGCCAATGGAATTTGAACACATCAGGAGGCAAGGGCCAAGGTTGTGAAAAGAGTAGCCCTTTGGGGCATTAAGACACATTATAACCTTGGTTGTTTTGTTTTTAATCCGCAGACATTGCTGGCATAGCATTTACTGTGGATGGATTCTGAAGTACAGCGACAGCCACAACAGGGAAACATCTAAAAGGCTCTCTCTCGACAGCCAGCTTCCCACACAGTTAATCTGCTGGGTTTTATTACTTTTATGCTCCAAGTGGAGAAAACACATGGCTGAAGATTTTCTCTTTGGGGGTGGGGTAGAGTTCCCAACAACCACTTCTCCCATCTTTCTATTATCAGATGGTTCTTCTTGAACAGGTCCGGTTTCTTTTAGCAGCTGGGTTCTAGGTCAGGCTTCTAGGCTCCACCCTAAAGAAGCATTGCGGCTTCTCTGGCCACATTGAAGCACATCAGCATGAATTAACATGCCTGAGGTTGCAAGCTTCTCACAGAAGAGCCTTAACTGGACCTGGCCTCGCTGGGAAATAAAAAGTCATCACATTCTCCAAAAGCAAAACAAAGCAGATGGACAAAGGATTCAACGGGCCCGATTGCACACTATCCAAATAAGAACAGCCATTGCGAGCGACATATTAGTTTCTAAAGCCTTTGTCACCACATTCTAACCAGTTGACTTCGCCACAGCCCAATGCTTTCTGTACTCTGGTTGCTGCCACTCCAGTCAATCAAAAGGAATAAAATATAATATTGACAGGACCCAGGAATGCATTTGAACACTGTAAAATAGAGAACTAGCTTATTTGTGCCTTCTCCTTCTGTCTCATCTGAATATGATCCAGACACAGGGCGATATCTCTATAGAATAGAAAGCAAGTTCTTTAGAAGAAAAACTAAGTTGATGGCTAAACTAGGAAGCATCTCCCATTAGTATGTTTTAAGGACGCACCTTGTTTTTAAAGTTTTAAGTTGTTTTTAATTTAATAAATTGTTCTTAAAAGTTGTTTTAAATTGTTTGTTTGTAGCACTGTAACCCACCTTGGGACTTTAGGATGAACAGTGGGTAATAAACCACCACCCTAATAATTACCATAATCATCATAATTTTTCTTAACTATCTTCAATAAAGGAGGAAGACAGGCAGCTGTAAAATTGACTCCACCTGTCCTTGGAACACAAAAATTGCAAGACAGAAACTCAGCCGAAGTAGGTTCAGTGCTCAAAAAGACTTCTACCTTCTTTCTTTCGTTCTAGCTCGCAAACAAAGACAAGCTTTGGCCTAAAGCAGTCTAAACTAGGTAGCAGATCATTCTGCAATGGAGGCAAGAAAAATAGTAGATATATGGAGAAAATGGGAGATTCCCCCTCAGCAAGAAGACAACTTTTCTTTCTTCTGCATCCCAGTGTACAAAGACTACCTCATCTACTTACTGGACTCCTAGATGGCAACATGTAGGGAGGATATTTATATCTTTTTTTATCCAAACAAGGGGGACACTTTACAATCAAAAATATTTTTCACATACCTGCTCGGAGGCTTCCTGCTCTTGACCTTGTTTTTTGGCTCATAGTCAGATTCGCTCTCTTCACAACTACTTTTATCTCTGCTTTCTTCCAAATCAGAATCTGAAGCAGTTCCAGAGACAGATCCTGACCCAGACATTTGCCAGTCTTCACTACATAAATTAAAATTACAAAAAGAACATTTATATACCTAAATGTAGATCAACAGAAGTAAGAATAATCTTACAAGTTTTTTAGTATAAAATTTTAAAGGGAGTGAGCCACTATCCTGACACATTTTGAAAACAACAATGTTGAACAAGTGAAATTAGCAGAAAATTTAATGTAGATGGAAGGTTAAACCTTTAATAGGAAAAGGGTTAAACCTTTAACTTTGCACGACTAAAATGAATAGTTAATGATTTACAGGAATTTGTGAATATTTCGGTAAGTAGTTATTTGCCACTTTCTTTAAAAATTCTGTCTCTACAGCTTTCACACAATAGGAGAACTATCTGGAATAATTCCAGATTCATTAAAATGAAATGCTAACTATATAGATTTTCCACATTAATGACTTTTTCTCACTGCCATCAATACTCAAACCTTCATATATTAAATAAACAAAGCAATATGTAAATTCTAGGAAAAACTTTTAAATGAAGCAAATCTCAGTGAAGCAAGGGGCTACTTAAAAAACCCAAATATGAACTGAATATATGAACCTTAATGAGACCTGCTGTGGTCCACAAATATGTTAGCAGCACTGGCCATGATCCAAATTCTCCCCAACCCTGATGAGCCTCAGCCTTCCTTCCAATTCTGTAGCTGGAGGTAGGGGACCATCCTTATAATTGTACTGTACTGCTTTTTGGAGGCACTCGGAGCCCCTTAGAAGTAAAGCACAACTTTGGATAATCCAAAGGACAATTCCTTGGGGTGGATAATTTCTAGGGTTAAGCTCAGTAGAAAGGACAGTGGGAGAAGGGGCAGGGGCAAATTCCAAATTCAAAAGGACAGTTAGAGCTCCTTCAACATCAGATGCACTTCTGAAAGCTTCAGAACTGCAGTGGGATTGCAGAGATGACTACTCTCTCTCCCTTCAGTATCAAGCTCAGGAGGGAAGGGGCATGGAATTTTCCTGAGCTAGTAACATGCTTTTGAGGCATTTTATGAGTATATATAAAACAGTGTGATGTCAGAGACCTGATCTGCCTCAGTGAGAGAATGATGGGGTGATAGAAAGCAAACATTTTGGTTGGCCAGTTGCACAGAAAACATTCACCAGATGATGCTTAAGGGGCTTTAACCGCTTGGGAAGAAATATGTTCTGGGCAATTAAACTCCTAATACTGTTGCAGTTGTCTGTTTCTAAAATGAGAATATTTCCATGCAAAGATCTTAAATAAGCAAATCCTAACGTGTCACTATATGGATAGCCATACAAGTATACAGATAAGCAAGTAGTTTATTCACTGGATACTAAGCAACCACGCCTAGGGCTTGCCGATCGAAAGGTCGGCGGTTCGAATCCCTGCGGCGGGGTGCGCTCCTGTTGCTCGGTCCCAGCGCCTGCCAACCTAGCAGTTCGAAAGCACTCTCGGGTGCAAGTAGATAAATAGGGACCGCTTACTAGCGGGAAGGTAAACGGTGTTTCCGTGTGCGGCTCTGGCTCGCCAGAGCAGCGATGTCACGCTGGCCACGTGACCCGGAAGTGTCTCCGGACAGCGCTGGCCCCCGGCCTCTTGAGTGAGATGGGTGCACAACCCCAGAGTCTGGCAAGACTGGCCCGTACGGGCAGGGGTACCTTTAAGCAACCACCGAGATAAAATAACATTGATAATGTCATGTGCTCTACTGATCAGATAAATTTAAAACACTACATCAAGCCATGTAATACTTAATTTCCTACTCTTTATGTTTCTTCCTCTTGATTTCACTGGATGAGTCATCGGCAGAATCTTCACTACTTGATGAGTCCTGCATAGAAAAACAAAATATAAGGTCCATAAGGAAGTAAACAAACAGTCACTCTCTTAACACTGCTATTCCATTTCAACACCGAAGTTGCAGGAAATTTTGCAGGTAAGATGAGGAAGGATGGCACATTAAGTTTGGATGGCAAGGGACATTTGAAAAGTTGATCCTCAGTCCAACTACTGGTTGCCTCATTAAAGCTGCTTGTCAAATTAGCCCCTGAATTGGTCCTCCAGCCCATTTGAACTCGACACCTTTTTTCTTTTACAAGGGAATTCAACTACATATATTATAATCTTGTGAATACTGAAAGCAAGTATGACATACAGTCTTAAAGATACTGTGCTGGCCCCAAGAAAGGTAACAGTTGGCATCTACAGTAGTATACAAGTCAATGATTTGAAAGGTACTTTACTTAAAGGATACTTTGACTCCGATTTCTCTTTTAAAATACTGGCATTGGCTAGTAAAGATCTGTGTTTACATTTATATTTAAAATACTAGCTAACTATTCACCTCTTCTGAGCCACTGTTTGAGGATGCTGCTTTTGACTGCTGCTGCTGTTTCCTGAGCATTGCTGATCTCTGTACAGCCAGAATACTTGGGTTTGATTTCCAAAACTAAAGCAGAATTCAAATAAAAACAATTATATAGTCACATAAAACACAAGCAATAAAATACATTCTTCAGTAAAGTCCACAAACTTTACAAGTAACAGGTAGATCCAAAATACAAGAAAAGTTATCAAGAAACAAATGAACACAATTGAAATATATTTCTTCCACTGGGTGGGGTGGCCTGGGGACTTGATTCAACTGAAATGGTTACAGCTATATTGATATGCTAAGGATATCATGCCATCGTCAAAATTGCATCTAGAAGGCTATAATACTGTTGCCTTTTGTGTGGCAAAAATTAGACACGATTCTTTAATATATTATTTTGTAAGTTCCTTCTAAACTTAAGAGAGACTTTTACTTAAGAGTTGCCAGAAACATCCAATGTATTCACTGCTGCATGAACTGAGTTCCACATGTGGTACTTCTCTTTCCTCTTGAATCCTTGCACCCACCAGACCTGCTCTGGAGGGTGTTCCAATCCTCTGGAGCAGATTTTGAGGGTGCATGGGAGAGGAGGGTGAAGTTGTGCAAGCGCAAGTCTGTTCCACAAGTGGAATGGCAGCAGTGGATACAACACACGTTGCTAAATAACCCAGGCAGTGTTAATGTCAACACTGGGTATTTCTTAGAAAGGTGAAAGTTTGGCACTGCTGCCATCTGATATTTTTATCAGCATTTCCAATGTTTCATATTACTAAAGTACTTTCTAATTTACACTATTTATGCAGATGCTCACTTAATACAACAACCATTTAAATAGAGTTTCTCATTTGTGGAGAGAGTCCACCTTACCTCAGCTCCATCAACCTTTGGAGGTTTAGCTTGGACTTTCTTTTCCTTAGATGTATCAGACTCCGATTCTGATTGACTGCCAGACTCTGAACCAGAGTCTGAATCGCTGCTTCCCGACTGGCTGCTACTTCCATTGCTACTGCTTCCAGAACTGGAACCAGATCCAGAACCTGATGCTGAACCAGAATCATCATCTGACTGGCTGCAATTTTAAGTTAAAAGTAAATATTATAAGAAGGTTGAAGAACAGATTCAGGTGTGCAGTCCTCATTTAAAAGCCCCTTAAGTGTTAGCCTTAGATAGTAAATGTTGCTGCTTCAACAGTATCACCAGCTGATTATCAGTCTTTGCAGTAATGCCTGCATCTGCAAGTTGGAGTTCTCCCAATAAATCCCTCAAATGGAGTGTCAATGAATTAAGGAGCCTTGAATATGCTTTTTTTTTTGAACACACACATACTTAGAACATAGGATAAAGTACAGAATGGAATGACCTTAGACATCTAGTTGCTAGTTAACTGAACACTGCATGCTGGACACAGGAATGTTAATGTTTCCCCATCCTAGTAACAATTGCTCAAATGTTAATTTGCCACATGCTTTAGAGCTATGGACGTGCAGTTGCATGCTTTTGCTTACATTTGCACACAAGCAACTTCCTCCAACAGACAGACAAAAATGTGTTTTAAACTTCAGACTCATATATTTAAAATGTAGTTTTTCTAATGGCTTGTGTTGTGGAGCTTGGCAACCAATAGTCGATATATTTCAAACGGAGAGATAGACACAGGTCTCCGACTGGTTTGAGGCTGACATTAAGGAAATGGAGCCTGTTATTGCTTGCAAAGTGAGAGCTCTTATGACCTACAAGTGTGCACCCTGCAAGAAGATGCACTAAGACAGGCAGGGAGTGATGCCCAGTGGATTGCCAGACAATGTGCCAATGACTACTGCCAGAGCATTCAACTTGCTACTGTCAGTGGTAACACTTGCAAAATGGATGCAGGCATGAAGCCTTGTACAAACAGTCAAGAAAAATGGACCACTGAAAACCTAGTTGGGAGAGATCATCACAAGCTGCAACAAGCAGATGAAGCAATGGGCAGAGTACCATCAAGAACTGTACTCATCAGAAAACATGGTCACTGAAACAGCAGTTGACAGTGTCCACACTCTGCCTGTCTTGAAAGAGATGAATGTTCCTCCCTTCCTCCTCTGACGAGCAGTAGAACGCCATAAACTCCCAGGAATGCAGTAAATTTGAAAGAGAAATAACAAACTTCTAGTACTCCACTCTGGCTCAGCATCATTAAGTAATTTTCTGACTTGGTCCTGTTTCCATTTATACTATTTTTAATGGGAAAATAGCACTGCAGAAAGGTCTCCATCAATAATTATAAGTGACAATAGCTATTGATCTTATGGCTCTGAATACCTGTTGGTGTAGAACATTAAAGGGTGAAGGCCATTGTTGTCAAGGGACATCTAGTATGCCACTGTGGAAAATCGAATGGTGGCCTATTTTCAGCAGGGGCTCTCTTTATGTTATTATAAATGTTATCACACCCACACATCCAATGGAAATGAGGTGTCCTCCAAATGGTCATTTGAATAAAGTAGGAGTGCGCTCGCACTCTCTCTTTCTCTCTCATCACCACAGCTTGCATTAGTAATGTTTATAAGTATCAGGTGGTCTGCAGAGTACTTGAGATAAGACTATTCCATTTATGATTTCCAAATACTAAATTGATTAACATTGAGTCTTGGAAACAATGATTTTCTTCAGGTCAAGGAGGGGGCTATTCTACTGATAAGCTCCCTAGGTCCGTTGATGCAAAGATTTTATTTTATGTGTTTTTTAAGCTTTCACATCTGTAGCAGAATAATCTCTTCATTACTATTTGCTACATCTCGACTTCTATTATTTCAGTATGTTTTTTCTAACCAGATGGATGTAATTTCCCTACTAAAACTTGATGTTAGTCATATACAATTTCTATATTGGCTGGGATCCATTATTATTCATCTGTTCCCAAGCTAGCTAAGGTGTTGATTTAATCAATTTGACCATACTACACAAGTGCCTCCAGATTGAAATATCATTTCCCCCTCCCTCATTGCATTTCATTATCAGCTTTCAGTTTCCTGTTCACCTACTAATCAGTTAATAAAAAGCAATTATGTAAGTATCAGTTAAATTTGTAAGTGTTTCAGACAAACTAATTAGACATCATTGTGTTCATATTTGAGTATAAGATTGCATTCAGATGATCACATCTTGGCCTAGTAACAAAAAAACACATAGACAATTTTTTCTTTCCTTCTCACAGGTTGGGAAATAAACCAGGAATTCTCAGAATCAGTTTTACTACTGAACTAGGAAACTATGGCTTCTAAAGAAGTCAAGATATAAAGTCACAGTTTCATAACATGGCATATTTAGAAACCATTAACCTGTTGTGCCCAGTTTGGATATAGTGAGAAACTATAGTTAACTGAAACTTCCTGGCTTTTCATTTGCTCATGCAACATGAAATAGCTGCATGGGGAGGAACAGGTCTCATTCATATATCCTTTGAGATATGATCATCCAAACAAGACAAGTATCTTGCTATATTTACTTCATACACTATCAGTAACAGTATTTTAAATTAGCCAAGAATGGACTTTGTTGGAGCAGGCATAATATCCAATCCTTAACTTTAATATGAAAACTCACGAGCTCCTCAATTGTCTCTAAAGCATTATGTGCAATTTTGGTTCAAGTTTGTTCTACTATTTTCAATACAGTGGTACCTCGGGTTAAGAACTTAATTCTCTCTGGAGGTCCGTTCTTAACCTGAAACTGTTCTTAACCTGAGGTACCACTAAAGCTAATGGGGCCTCCCGCTGCCACCGTGTGATTTCTGTTCTCATCCTGAAGCAAAGTTCTTAACTCGAGGTACTATTTCTGGGTTAGCAGAGTCTGTAACCTGAAGCATCTGTAACCTGAAGTGTATGTAACCCGAGGTACCACTGTACATACGTTTTCTGTGATATCCAAAATCAGGTGTCAGAGCTGCCTCAGGTCCCAGCTCACAGAGGACCAACGCCAGTCCGTTGTTATATAAAATAGTCTTTATTGAAGTTCAGTTTCTCATTTACAGCCACGGCGCGCAGCTCTACGTCTTAAACCCTAGACCGCCGAAGCTCCGTCTGAGTCTCCTCCCCCCAGACACCAGTTTAAGACCCTAGCCTTGCTCCACCTCTTCCTCTGCTCCCTCCTCCTCTGGGTCCGCTTGTCCGCCGAGGTCTTGCCCTTCCTAGACTCTTCTGACGCTGAGTCCCCTGAGTCTTCCCCCTCCCTCCGGCGGGCTTTAGGACCTGGTTCCCAATCCGGGTTTTCTGCTGTCCCGCGCGCCTGCACATTTGAACTTGGCGCGCGCGCCCAGCCTGCCACCTTCCTTCTGACCGTTATACTGCTCCTGTCGCTGCTTCCCTCTTCGGGGATGCTAGCTGGGTCTGACTCCTCCTCCCTGCTTGCCGGAGGAGACGCTGACTCTGACCTATGGGGCTCTTCCCCCCACTACGCTCTGGTGGGGAAGCTGGTCCTGATTTCCAGCTACTGCTTTGGGAGTCTCCGCTGGCTCCCTGCTTCTGGTGTGTCCCCCCTGGGACCCCCCTTGCCCTGGCCATCGGCGCCCCCTTCTGGGAATCTTCTGATTCACTGGAGAGGCTCATGGAATCTCTCGGGTCACTGTCATTCTGCCCTCCGCTGCCCTCAGATTCTTCCCCTTCGCTCTCCATTTCCTCTCTCCCCTGTGCCTCTGCTCCTGAGCCCCGACATCAGGAAACTGGCTTATTCCAATTGTTAGTTCAAACAAACTCAAATCTGAACTCACAGAATCCGAACAAGTGCAATTTAACATGGAATCTTTCAATCTCCTCCCCTTGCAAATGGAAAAGGGAGGAATATGTGAGGCCAAGATTTGCTGCAGATTGTTATTATCAATTTTTTTTAAAAAAACAAACACACAGCTTGATCGGAAAACAGGCCTTTGAAAATAAAAACGTTTTAAAGTAACATTGTCTCAAATGAATACAAAGTACGTACAACTAATGGTACCATTTCAGAAAACAGTAGGATCTACAACGTTATGATACATTTCAGTGTCACACTGAAAGCAAAGAGCTAATGATTTTACATACTACTAACAGCTGCACCAACAAAATTAAGTCTCAAAAACCTCACGTTAAAAAATCTTTTGCTCATAAAAGCAGACCACCTAATTATTATTATTAATTTTATTTCTATACCGCCCTATACCTGAAGGTCTCAGGGCGGTTCACATAGAGGATCACATACATAAAATCAAAATACAAACAACCGAATAATAAAAAAACCCTAAAAAGAGCCAGCATTTTAAAAAGGGTATAGGATGTAGATCAGGTCAGGCAAAGGCCTGGTTAAAAAGGAACATTTTTGCCTGGCGCCTAAAGGTGTATGGTGAAGGTGCCAGGCGAACTTCCCTGGGGAGAGCATTCCACAGATGGGGAACCACTGCAGAAAAGGCCCATTCTCGTGTTGCCACCCTCCTGACCTCTCAAGGAAGAGGCACACGAAGAAGGGCATCACAAGATAATCTCAGGGTCCAGCTGGTTCATATGGAAAGAAGCAATCCTTGAAGTATTGTGGTCCTGAGCCGTTTAAGGCTTTATAGGTAAAAACCAGCACTTTGATTTGGGCCCGGAAACTAATTGGTACCCAGTGCAATTGGACCAGGATCAAATGCACATTAAATAAGCAGACCAACAGAGTCTACTTACTATTTCAGTCTAAAACTTATGCCATGTTAATCTTTTAAGTTCAGAAAAGAACTTTTAAGTTCAAAACTATTTCCTGTACATGTAATGGCACTTTTAAATAATCTCTACTACAGATTTTACATTTATCCAATTTTCACAAGTTAAGAATTTTTACCTCCCACAATATGACCTCTGTGACCAGATTTGACCACTAAAGACCTTAAACTGACCTTAGAAGCCTAGCTTTATTGTTCTGCCTTGCAAAGAATTGAAGCACTACCAAACCAATAAAGCCTGTTCAATGTATTAGTTGAAAAAAGTACTCAGTGCTTCCCAGGCTCCTCTGAAAATCAAATTGGTTGAATTCAAAGCAGTTTTGTAACTACAGATGTCACAGCTCATTTGGATCATAGCAGTGTTGAGGCAAAAGGACAGTGTACCAATAGGGGGAAAAACACCCTGATTTATAATTTATAAATTAAGTTATAATTAAAACTGTCTCAGACAAAAGAACTAGAGACAGTAGGCTGCAATCTGTTGATTCCAGGGGAGACTGAGAATCTAGAATCAGTTTTGAGAACATGCACCATGACACATAAAACAGGCTCTACCCCAACAAACTATTTGTCGGATAGGACACATTTACCAACCAATCAAGAAATTCTATTCTTTTGAATATAGATTTACAATATGCTACTTTGATTAATCAAATAATTAGATCATTTACTAAACAATAAATTGAGATATCAAATGCTAAACCCAGATTTCAAATTTTTTCATTATTTTAATTAAGCATATTTCTAAGGATCAGCGTGGCAAACCCAGCAGGGAAAAGTAGTATCATCATGCTAACTGCTAATAATAACCATACACATTTATTCCATTCTTTAGTCTCTAAAGTGTTTCAAATATATACATACATATCAGATTATTCAAAAAGAAAAGAAAACCCCATAAGGTAGGTTGTTGGTATTGCCCTGCTTTCACAAATGATGATTAAGACAGAGGGACCATCTTATAAATTCATGACAGAAGAGACATTCAGATGGGAACATGTATTTTAATGTGGTAAGCAAGAGTCAGAACTAGCCGCGGAGCATGCTTTAATAGTGCCTGGGGCGCACATGCACTGGGGGGACGGGTGCAGGAGGCAAAAGGAGCTCACTGCGCACCAGCCCAGCCCTTGCTGCCACTGGAGCAGCACCCTGAGCTGTTTTGTGAGGCTGGAATGATCTCAGCCTCACAAAGAAGCGCAGGGCTGGCTTGGGGAGGGTGGTGTGAGCAGCAGCACCCCTCCCCTGAAAAAATGCACCCAGGTCAATCACTCCAGCAGTCCTCCCCCATGCTATGCCCCTGGTCAGAACCCATTTCCCCTCCCTCACCCCTGAGTACATGCATCCTACATTCATTTTCTCCTACAACCATATACGGTACTTCATGCTTTTTTTCCCACCACTCCACAGACACTGTTCCAGCCTCCTCCTCTCTCATTTCCTCAGCCTCCTGGCCTCTGTCTGCTAGCTAACCCTAGCCCACCTCTCTCCATGTCATCTTTCCTCCTGTCTTACATAGCTATAGTTAATCCCTGGATATCTAATACACCTTCTCAGTAGAATACAAATAGCTGAAAAAATACAAAAGCATGGGACTGAAGTGGTAGTGGCTGGCAATATCACAAAGCCTTCTCAGGCTGCCTTAAAGTGATTTTACTCAATGTAGTTCCCTGAGGGAAATAGACATTTTGGGAGGGTTTTGAAGGGGCACTTCCACAGCTGAGAAGTCAGATGCCACAAAGACACTCTATTGCATTCCACAACTTTCTGACCAAAACTTTCCCACGAATGCAACAAAGCTGTTAAGAACAGCAAGTAGACAGGCAGACTTGATTATTCAGAGCATCTTTATAAATGATAAGAATGGCTTGATTTATCTTGTTTCATATTAGCCTACCAATGAGCATGACCTGGGAATCTCTTTTATATTCCACTAATATGGAAAATATATGAATTATTTCACCAAATACACTTAAAGAAAAGCATACTCAAACTATCAAAATTCTTAAAACAGAACATAATCTGGCAACTTCATCTGCATCCCAAGTTGTATCCATATAAGCACAATTATACTACCTCTCATGCACTACTTCCAAGTCTCCAATATATTTCCAGATGTATAAAGAGAAATGACAAACTACCAATCTGCAGTCTGCAGGAGATGAAGGCTGGGATGGAAAGCGGGAGCAATTCTGGGTAGCTTCTGCTCCACATTCCACCAGGCTGCAGAAACAGGCAATGCCAAACCTCACTAGTAACTACAGGCTGCTTCCAGAACTAGTACTGATGGGGATCACCTATCTACAAATCAAGTAACCATCTTTGTGACACAGCTGTCTGTGCCATAATAGCTAAGGCTCAAATGACAGCTGCCCTTGAGTTTCCATACTACAATAAAAATGGAGGGTCGCATTATTTTTGTACCAAAACATTACCAAATACAGAATATTCATGGGAGTGTTAGGACAAAGGGAAACCTTGTAATTTTAATCTACATGAACCATGAAAATAATTGAGCTGTTCCTCACATTTTAAGTTCAGAGTGGTAGTAGGTTCGAGAGAGAAAACAAACTACATCTTCCATACAACACAATTTATAGAATTCACTGCTGAAATTTGGTGTGGTGGCCACTACCTGAGATGGCTTTAAAGGAGGATTAGATGGTCGTGAAGTACAGGAATAAGCAGCAGTTGGCATCACGTTCTCACATGCTTATGAGAAACCCACAAGCAAGATATGAGCACAACAGCATTCTTCTCGCTTGCGTTCCCCAGCAACTGGTATTCAGAGGCATGCCATCAATATACGCTACGCAGTGCATGGTGGTTCAGAGGCGCTATGCTACTGAATAGCAGTTACTGGGTTGTGGGGAGAGGACTATTCCTTTCATGTCCTACTGGTGGGTTTTCCAGAAGAATTCACTACATACAGTGGTACCTCGGATTAAGAACTTGATTCATTCCGGAAGTCTGTTCTTAACCTGAAACTGTTCTTAACCTGAGGTACTACTTTAGCTAATGGGGCCTCCCACTGCCACCGCGCGATTTCTGTTCTCATCCTGAAGCCAAGTTCTTAACCCGAGGTACTATTTCTGGGTTAGCAGAGTCTGTAACCTGAAGTGTCTGTATCTGAAGTGTCTGTAACCCGAGGTACCACTGTATAGCCACACTGTGATCAGGATGCTGGATTAGAGCAGGGTTCCTCTTACATTCTCTAAAGCTTCCAATTTATAAACATGTAGTGTTTTCAACATACATGAACAAACAAACCTATCCATTTGTTTTTTGGAATCCCTTAAAGAACAAAAAGAGACACATTAATTGGCCTTCTAAGACAGGCCTTCTTATCAGAGGCAAGTCCAATTTTACAGCTAGTTATTCAACTAGGGGGTGTTCTGATATCTAGCTTGTGAGAACCACTGCTCAAGACACCCTATAGCACGTAAGATATGAACATACAAGGAAAACTACATGATATATACAATTCAATTCACTATAGTACAATTCAGTACAATTCAATATATATATTCTTAAGTTCCATTCAACAGTGTTTACTTGCAAATAAGATGGCATAGGATTGGATCCTTTATCTGCAAGGCTGGGTAACACACAAGTGCATATAAGTGTATATAAGAACTCCGCTGGACTGGGCCAAAGGCCTGTCCTCAGTGGCCAACCAAATGCCTATGGGAAGCTCACAAGGAGAATTTGAATACAACAGCAGCCTTCCCACCTGTGATTTCCAGTATTCAAATGCATACTGCCTGCAACACTAGAGAATGAACATAACCCTCACTGGTACAAGTCCCAAGATACTATGTGCTACTTCACATGGGTTTACTCTGAAATAAGGTTCAAATCTTAAGATGGCATAGAATTGGATTCAAGTTTATTTAACCAGGTAAGTATGGAATGCAGGAATTAGCTACTCCAGTTCCAGCACTCACTCTAGATGAAACCATTCCTTGGTTCCATGCAAATATGGAGGTGGTACTCCCTCCTCTCACCCTTAAAACACAACACAAGGAGGACATGAAGTACCACTGAGACAGAAAGTGAGAAATGCAAGTGAGGAACATGATTCTGGAGCAGGAATCTGTCTAAGATATGGTCACAAAATGTATCCTATGGAGATCACTTAGTCCTGTGTAATCAGATACATATGACAGGCTGGGCTAAGCACCCTATCTAAACCATTACGCATACTGTTGTTGCAAAGACATGCATATTTGAGTGTTAGTTAACCATATTCCATTACTGCCTGAGGCACACCATTAATGGATTCACTAGAATTGGGTCCTGAGCCTTGTGCACACTCTTATTTCTAATTAAATTCAATTAGTTTCCAGAGTCCTTATTTGAAATAAGAATGCTTGGTCCGATACTTCAAAATAAACAATTTAATTATGGTAAAGACTTCACTTTCACAAAAATGTAAGATTTACCAGAGACAAATCTTTAAGTACATACCTTGATTCTCCACTACTGTTCCTTGCACTTTCTTCATCACTGTGCCCATTCATTGTAAATATTCACCAAAATAAAAATATAAATAAAGTTCTTCCAGTTTGGAAGCTGGATATGAAATGTCCACTTAAGAGAGTCGTCTTCCTTGCTCTTCAGATATTTCACATGTAACTTCAGCGGTTATTTGTTTTTCCCAAGTTACCCTAAAAATTGAATACACAAATAATAAAGATGTGAAATGTTTACAAATTTGTAATCTATTTGAGGATACTGCAGTAAACTAGCTGGATATGTGCACCTCATCAGATTCTTGAACTATTTATTACATTTATAACCCTGCATTCCCATCCCCCATCCATTTTCTAATTACACCTAACCCATGAGATAGTGACTGGCCCAATGTTGCTTTGTGGCTGAGTGGGGGATTTGAACCTGAGTCTCTCCAGTCCTAGTTTGACAGTGAACACTCATAATGGATTCTCTCAGTGATCTTTACCCTGTAAGTTCATACAGCAGGGTCAGTATTATTCTTTAGAGGCTAAGTAACTTCATACACAGGAAAACCCAATTTGATCCTTTCTGAAGCATTTTGACATTGATCTAATTAGCAGTGCCATTAGAGGCAGTGCCAAGGGAAAGCAAGGGAGTAGTGCTGGTGCAGGCTGGAACTTTTTCTTCTGAAAGTAAAGCTGCAACCCTAAACCAACTCACTAGAGCATGTCCTATTATAACAATTCATCTGACTTCTGAGTAAACATACATAGGACTGTGTTGTAAGCAACATGCATACATGAACCATTTTACAAATTTGCAGCACCAGTAAAATGCAGCTTGCTCACTCCCGTTAAAACTACAGTCTCCTGACTGCTTACTTGAGAACTGAAACTGCAAGTAAACATAGGTAAGGCTGATTTATAACAAAATTGTTTTCCTGACCCATAGTGAATGTACAAATCACAGATCCCAACTATGATTTCTATGGCATTGCCCCTTTCAAAATCCTATACTAAGGCCAGCTCTGTTAAGTAGCTGGAATTACTCTTGTGCTGCTAATTCTTACTGCCACCAGCACAAGAGCAATTTCTAGCTACTTAGAAAGTCAGCGTCCTTTGGGCACCATACAAGCTAACAGGGAATACCATAGCAGCAAAGATCATCCACTTGGTCTCAATCAACCCAGTTATATATATATTATTTATTTAAGGGAACCCAAGCAAAAGGCGGGGCCACTGATCAGAGCAGCAGGAAGGCACCGCACCGAGTCCCTGATAGCCAGCCTGTCAGCCAATGAGCAGCGGGCCTCGTGGATTTAGTGGGTGCCAAAACAAATGGGCTTTCTCCCCTCCCTCCGGTTCCCCCCTTATCGCGGCGGGTGTCTCCTGCTGCTCCTCGCGGGGCGCCTTTCCCACGATTACTGCCGCCGCCGCCGCTTCTTTTTTAGGCCGGCCGCGGTCCTCCCGCCTTTCCCCTCCTCGCCCCGCTTGCGAAAGCCTCGCTGCGTCCTGCATAACCGCCTCTCCTCGGCCGCCTGGTAAACAAAGGGAGATGGCGGGGGAAGCCGGAGGAGGGGGAAGAAGACAACCAGCAGCACCGCGGCCGGCTCCTGCGAGCCTCTATATGGGGGTGGAGGGCGGGGGCTGAGAGCGAGAAAGCGAAGGCGGTCGGACAAACGGACCGGCCTGAGGCGCAGCGGCTGAACAAAAGCGGCGCTTCTCCCCCTCAGCTCGCCCGCTTTCCACACAGAACCGAGCAAAACCGCCTGGGCCGGGCCCTTTCCTTCCTTCCTCCCTCAAGCCGGAGCCTCGGCTCCCAACTCCCGTCTAGCTGGCTGGCTCCCTCCCTCTCCGCCCTTCCATTGCCCCACCGCGGCCTACACAAGGCGCCCAGGCCGGGTATGGCGTGCCTCTCTCCGATCCCCACAGCCTGCCCTCCTCCTCCGCTCTCCGTCGGGCCGCACTTACCGCCAGGCCTGCCTGGGCCTCTCCTGAGGAGCCAGCGAGGGGGAGAGCGCTGCAGCCGGGCCTCGAGGAAGGAAGGAAGGAAGGAGCGCTCCGGGGCCTGCCGGGATCTCTTCCCTCTCTCCTCTTCCCTCTGCCGCTTCTCTGGCCCTCCCTCTTGGCCTATCCGAAAAAAAAGAGGCGGGCGGGAGGGAGGGAGAAGCAGCGCGAGCCCCCTCAGAAACAGAGAGAAGCGGTTTAATAGGGAAGAGCGGGGCGGGAGGGAAGAGAACGGGTTAAAAAAAACCACCCCGAGGTGAGCGGGCGCGCGACGCCGTTGCTTTAAGTCCTCCCGGCCGCCGCCGCCATCACGCTGCCGCAGCCGCTCCGTACAGCGTCCTCCTCCTCCTCCTCTTTCCTTCACCCCCCTCCCCTCCCCTCGTCCGATGGAAACCCCGGGCGTGATGTCAGCCCTGGGACAGAGCGGGAAGGGGAGGGAGGAGTCACGGGCGAAGGGAAGCGGGCGGCGCGGCTCGCGCAGGGCGACGGCGGCGGCCGCGAGGAGGCAGGAGGAGGGAGGGAGAAGGAGAAGAGGGCCGCGCCAGGCCTGCCGGGAGGGAAGAGAGCGGGGAGCCTGTGGCGCGCGTGGAGTGGTCACGAGGGGCCTGTGGGAATTGCGGCTCGTGGGGTGAGGGAGGGCGCCGTCAGTGACTCCGCTTTATAAACCCACTTCGCTTTTGCTGCCCGCGTGTGTAAATACTCTTCTCCATAGCAGCCGACTCCTAGGGGCCGAGGGTGTCTTCACCCCACCAATCAAATTTTTAAAGGGGCTGAGCCCCTCCACCCCCAGTTGATGGGCATTGCCATTCACATAGTGTGTGTGCAGCGCGTCATGTGATGAATTATGTGGGGCGGGGCTTACCTGGGAGCCCCCCCTCCCATTTTTTATATTCAAGTTGGCACCGCTGCTTTTCTCTGCTCCCCAAAACTTACGATCTCTCAAATTCACTGTACCTCGATGAGGGGTTATGCAAGCCTTGTTTACGATGTTGCAAGGCAAAGCTCTGTGAGGAAGAAAAGCAGAACTTGTTGCTGTCTCTCTCGTCCCTTCCCCCCTCCCTTTCTCTTTTTGTTTTGTTTTGTTTGGGTTTCTACATTCATCCTTCCAGCAGGCAGAAATTCAGCAGGTGGGGAGGATTTCCTTTCAGGATTGTTGTTGGAATGTTTGCTGTTACAGTTTGAACTTTGCTTCCATTTGATCATTGTAATAGATTGCTTTGAAATCATTTTTGCACTTTTAAGTCCCCCAATCCCCCCCCCCACAACCTGCCTTTTCTTTGCCTGACCTGCCCCATATTTTGCCCAACCAAAAGTGGCAACCCTACTTGCTGTATTTACCACCGACTTCTCAGCTGCTTGAGAACTCAGTAGTTGTGTCCTACTTCCTTGTAGTAGTTTCAGGCTGCAATTCTGAAGTCAGTGGCTATTTTCTTCTGGAGTTAGCTTACTTAGGGACAGGCTTCCGTGCTTGGTTGGTGAAAGTCCCCCCATTCACATGCCTTTAAAGTGTATGTGCTTTATAACTTCGAAAAGATGTAGTTGCTGCTTGTGGAAGCTATATTGCCCTCCCCTTTCCAGTTGGAAGGCTATGTGCACTGGTTTTCAAGGCGGGAAAACTGCTCAAGCTGTGTATTCTTCAGAGTAGCTGACTAATAGGAGCATTATGTAAGGCTGTGAACTGTGGTTGAGTTCACGGAAGCTGTGATTAATACTGGGACACAATTGGGAAACCCAAAATTTGGTTGGGAATATAGCCTTCTAGTGTCAGGTTTGTAAAACAGCTCAGGTCACAGCCACACTTCACATCTGGCAAATGCTTGTGGTAGGAAAGGCTGATTTCAAGTGAGATTTCAGAATCAGAATTCAAACTTAATTTCCTGCTCTTAATTATCAACTTGTGTCCCCCCCCCCCTTCTGAGACAAACTTTCCGTAAAGCACAATAATAGTTTTCATCTCTCAGATCAAAACTGGGCTACGAAAGAGAGCTCCACACCAGCAAAACATGTGTTCTGTCCAGCTTCTTCCATGTTTCTTCCTACCTTACGTTTTATGGCCATTGTCATCTCTAAAAGCACAGCTGTCATGAATATAGCTATGCTTCCAGCACATCTCCTGACATTTGAAAGATGAAGCAAATACATGGGTCACCCCTCATCCAGTAGAGATCAGTTGCTCTCTACAGCACATCCAGTCTTAAGGCATCTGTATGCTACCAACTTTGTTTTAACTAAGATCAATTTGGTTTCTTGCAGTGAAATCTGAGAACTATAGGTTGTTCTTTTTTAAAGTTTTGGTTAGAATTCAGTTTTATAGATAGTAAAATTGTGTTCAAGGCTGCTAGATTCCTGCCTGCTTCCCACACTTCAAAGACTCTTAACTCCAAAATTCATTGGAAAGAATCTATGGCTGTTAAGTTTGTTTGTAGCATAGGTCTTAAGGCAGAAGTGGATAACCTATGGCCCTCCAAATGTTGTTTGACTCCCATCAGCCCCAGCTAACATGGTCAATGGCCAGGGATGAAGGAAGTTGTAGTCCAGCAATAGACTGTCCATCCCTGTCTTATCCCTGCAAATCACAGTAGATTTCTAAGAGGAATACATGGTGTTTGTTGAGGGGAATAACTCAATTCTTCCAGGTACAAACTACAAAGTTTTCAGATATTCAAGAAGACGTTTCTCAAGAAGGCATTCTTTCCTTGTTTATACTTAGGTTATGCAATATATAACCAACCAATTTGCAGCCAACAGTATTTATATTATTCATGATGCCCCTTTAAATACTTAGGCATAAATCCAACGGAGACATGCTTAATCCCACTGATTTCAGCAGGCTTAACCATGCCTAATTTTGTTGGGTTTAGTCCTTAACTCTTGAATTTAAAACAGGTTTATACTCAGTTTAATCAATCAGTTATGGAGATAGAAAGCCAGCAGGAGTAGGTAACTTCCTGTGTAATGTACAGGGCATCACATGTATGGTTATCTGCTGGCAGGGAACAAATTGTTGGTGTGTCCCTAAGACAATGAGCTCCTGGCTCTTTGTTCCTTTGAGGCTAGGGTAGCTAACCTGGAGAAGCTAAGAGAGGTATGTATATGAGATCTTCAAGGTTATGGCACAATATAATCTGTTGTGATGGAGAATGGAGCCTTGGGGATAGGAAGGCATCATACTGAGGAAGAGAGAAATAGTTGTTTAAAAGGGGCCCATTTGATGATGGACAGCAATGAGGTGGAGCTGTAATAGGCATGGTTTACTGCAAGGTGACTTGCCTGCAAAGTGTGAAGGATATGGATATTGAATGCCATCTAGAAAATGCAGAAGAGAAATCCGTGGCTTTGGTGCATGTTGATCCCAGTGCTGTTGAGAAAAGTAGTGCTGCAGTCCTAGAAGAAGAAAACTTAGCTAAGATTTTTAAATTCAGGATCTCCAAAGAAGCATTTCAGGACATTTTATAAATGTCCAAATCCGGGGCTACTTTCAGCGAATGGATAACAGGGTGGTGGTGTGGGGAAAGGGTTTATATAGCATGGGTCCTGGGGAAATTTTGGTTCAAGCAAAGCTGGTAGAGTGGTTAAACCACTGCGGAACTGGAAAACTGCCACTTGATATCAGAAAGCTTGCAGATCAGCTTTTAAATTCTTTTCTGTTTGAAAGCCATCAGGAGCTTAGACTCATCAGGTTCAGGATGATCCTTCCATAAAGAATAATGGTGTAAGTCTTCCAGGTCATATAATTAACGATAGGGCAGAATATGCAAGAAGTCATGACATGACATAGATGAAAAAGGGGAGGAATGCTTCCTATGGGAAGAACTGTAGCAGCAACATACTTGCATGCTTTGCTTTGTTCTGAGGGAGGTAGATTTGATACGAGAATTGTATTGTCATGCCTTTGCCAAAGCTATGAGAATAATCTTGAAATGGTTCTTTATTTTCAGTTACTGGGAAAGTGCACATTGGAATTCTTGGAAAGACCCACAACCTTTTGATACAGTAAATGCTTTGGAACATTTAATCATAGGATTCAGTCCAGGGTTGCATCCCTAGAGGTGCCCAAGATCTGAAGTGAGATATACCGGTATGTGCTGTCAGACTGATTGGAAACAGTAATCACAGTGCTAACAAATATGTAAGTGGAAGGCATAGTAACATTTAATTTCAAAGTAGGGGGGGGATGAGGAAATTGGTTAAAAGAGGGTGTCAAGAGGGCCAATTCTCTTTAGGATGCATGGAAGTTATTTAAAACCACAAGAACAGAAGCTTGGCTAGCATGTATGCTACTGATTGAAAAGCTGCAAACAAATCCAAGAGCTTGTCAATATGGTTTACAAGTAGAGTCAGGGAAGCTATAATAGTTGAGAAGGCTTCCGTGGAGCCTGGAGGGTCTTGTTCATGCAAGGAGAATGAAAAGAAGCAGTAATACTGGGAAAAAGAATTGCAGGTAACAATAAGTGGGAGGGGAAAGAAAGTAAGAAATAAATGGCAAAAAAGATAAACAATAAACACTGCATTAAATATATCAGAAGCAGGAAACAGCTAGGTAGTTATTGGACTGTATGTGTCAACAGTTTGGGGACAACAGTTTTGCTTATGCCTAGCCATGTATCCTGGAACTCTGCTTACGATTGAACCTGTACTGTACTTGGAGTTGATGCTAAAATCGTATGATGATTTTATCAATAAAGCTTTCATGATTTACTGACCTGAGAATCATGAATCCTTCATCCATGGGTGAAAGCACTAAGTTACATAGATTCCTAACAACATCACCACCACCTTGAAAGGGACATGAAGCAACTGAATGTTGACATGTATAAATATTGCTGTTTTCATTGACAAAAAGGCATATTATCATGGTATAAAGGTAAAGGGACCCCTGACCATTAGTTCCAGTCGTGAATGACTCTGGGGTTGCAGCGCTCATCTCACTTTACTGGCCAAAGGAGCCGGCGTACAGCTTCCGGGACATGTGGCCAGCATGACTAAGCCACTTCTGGCGAACCAGAGCAGCGCACGGAAACGCCATTTACCTTCCCACCAGAGTAGTACCTATTTATCTACTTGCACTTTGATGTGCTTTCGAACTGCTAGGTTGGCAGGAGCTGGGACCGAGCACTGGGAG